CTAAAAGGGATGCGGCCATTTGCTACCGCTGAGGAATCGTGTTTCCCTTGTCTCGCCTCATTTCAAGCCCTAACTTGCGGTTTGCATTTGTGAGGTACCGCAACAAAAGCACGGTTCCAATTAGACCACAAAATGCGGGTACGATTGAAAGAACACGTAGTTGAAGATTTCGATTTTATCCGCTGGGTTGGCCAACAAACCTGCATTTTGACAAGCGTTGGGACAGGTTATAAGACTACTGCCCCAACCACCCAAACAAAGAACCAGTTCGAGGTGGACCGTTTGGTGCTCGCAGGGTTCCTCTCGGAACACCAGCGCGAGGGCGGTAGAGGCACGCGCCGCGATGACATTCACTCGGCCCTCAGAATCGGAACGTGGCATGGCATGAAATAAGAACCCTTGGTGACATATGTTTGGAATCAGAGTCTAAGTATTTATTGAGGATTATTGTCCTGGTTGATTCGGGGTGCCGCTAGTGGTGATTTTGATCACTTTCAGGGGAACACTGTCCGCCACCGGTTCTACCTAGTGACCTAGTGGTTTTAACAGTACCCGGCTCCCACTGTCCATCAGCAGCGCCTGGGTAATGACCACGAACCCCCTTCTGGGTACATGAAGGGATCGCATTGCGGTGGAGTGGTTGTGAGTGCGCTATCAGACCCATTTCGGATACACCCGCAAATCCGAAGGACACGTAGATGGGAGGCAAGACAGGCGGCCGCGGAGAACATTGCAAAACTAGCGCAAGCAAGAAAGGAAGGCACTACACGTCAACATTGAACGGCAATGAATTCAATGAGTTGGATGCATTGAACTCGAGTGATCGTTAGCAATTGCTCAGATGCTGGATGCCATGGACGAAGGATGAGTTTTCCCTGCCATTGTTCTGCCGTTGAAGTGCTGGCCTTGTTTGGACTCAACAAAAAGGAATGAGGACTACTCTCAAAACAAAGGAATGAGTGGTGTGATCCTGGAATTGCATGGAACCTGAGCGTTCAGGTTAATGACAAGAACTGAGAGACGCCGAAGCTGACCTTTCCACCTTTCGGCTATCCCTTGTTTGACACTTAAGGCTCCAACAGTTTCCACAGGTGAACTGCAAAAGGCTGGCTGTCACGAACGCGCCCCGAATCCCGTACGAGAAAGCCCGCTTGGTTTGGAAGCGGAGGGAGCAAGTCTGAATACCCAATCGCGCGATAGTATCCTTTCCAAGCATTCTGCAAAAAGGCCAAGATTCCGCTTGTCTCAAGTTTGCAGTGAATTTACCCAGTCCATTGGCACTCTTGTCATTTAAAAATTTAGGATGTTCCTCAAGCAACCAAGGGGCATCTTTTTCCTTAGGACAAGAAGCGAGGGAGCAGCCTTGTTTGTAACTCACGGCAACCTTTCTATAGCCTGCACGTCTGCGTGTGTGTGTGTGTGTGGGTGTGTGTGTCTGCTGTTTGGGGATACGATTTGCGGGTGGCATAGGTCCCCTTTGTGTTCCACAAACCAGTCCAAAATATAGTTTTTTGCTTGGGTCCTGATTCCAGCCAAGGACTGTACCCCAAATGCGGACCAAGAAATGAACACCGCCCATTGCGGTTTATAGGGCAAAATCGTTGCGTCTCTGCTGCCGCGGCAGGCCTTAGGCTTTGGCAAGAGCGCGCGACGCGGCGACGGCACGGAGCGGATGGGGCAGAGAGGAAGACCCAGTCGAAATGGGGGTGACTTTTTCTGGGGAACCCTCGGTTTAAGATGGCGCAATCTCGGTTTCATAGTCCCATTTGGGGGAACCCGTCGTTGGGTTTAAACCCACCGGACATCGAATGGAACCCATGAGGGGGCTCCAGGTATTGCCATGTTCTAGTTATGTTCTAGTTATGTTCTAGTTTTGTTTGTTTAATGACAAGCAGAGTCCCGCTCCGATGCCCAGTAACATTGCAGTTTCCCTTTGGACCAACAAAGAGTTAGCAACAAGTGAACCGTTTTCAAGTCTGGCCAAGAGAAAGCGTGGAGCATTCCCGACGTTGTACACCAACAAAAGGACTCGTCTCACAAGTCCACAAGTGCTTCTTTCGTGAGTGCGGGGAAATTCATGGACAGAGGTGGGAGGATTTTCCCTGGGGGTGGGGATAGTTCAGTGGCTGGTGTTTGGCGGATTTCTGGGGCGGCAATTGTGTTTTTTTCCCAGTGAATCTTGGAAGGTGGGTCGTTTTTGCCCGGGGGATGAACCACAGAATGTTCCCAGCAAATATGTATATTTATATATATATATATATATATACAAATATATCTGTGCTTGTCACCGGCTTTTTAAAAGAGGCCAACACCCCTTACCACGAAGGTCAAACACGGGCCCTTCACAGCTTCTCCACACTTCATGGGAGCCAGCACCTCTCATGTGCAAGATCCTCCCTTAGGCTAACGTGGCCCGGGACCCCTTCCATCTTTTGTTGAGGCTGTCACCAATTGCCTTGCTTTCAGGGGAGCGTGTTGACTTGTTGCCATCAGCTGAAGACGGTTTCCACTCACTGAATATGAGGTAGCAAGATATGAGAGGTGGCATGTGACACAAAGAAGAAGAACATCTGCCATGAATCTCTCTCATTCCTGTTCCAATTCCTAAAGTAATTTCTAGATGATAGGATGTGGCTAGGAAGATAAAATGAGATGGAAAGCAATAAGAAATATAATATTCTTTCCTAATCTCATTTCCCAGAATCTATCTCCATCATTGCCAGTCCTAACTATAGAATTATGTCTGGACTGGACATCAATGATCGATGGATGGGATAATGGGACACAAGGAAGAGGTTATGAGGTGTGTCCCATCATCCCTTCACCCCAGCTCTCATATCCGCTGGGTCTTCTCTTTCCGTTTCTCACCTCTTAATCACATCCTAGATGCAGTGGTGAAAGGATGTGATGGAGAGGAGAGGTGAGGAAGGAGGAAAGGGATAGGATGGCATATGAAAGTAATTGGCCATCCACATCCAACTGCTTCCTTCCCATCCAAGAAGCGGTCTAACTAACATAGGATCAAGAGATAACCATCCAACATAAGAATCCAGAAATCAAGACAAAAGTCCGCGAGGAAGAAAAGACCAAGAGAAGGTGAATCACTTTTCATGTACAATCTAAATATGAAAAGTGATGGGACATGATGGGTGAAATGCTAAATCATATAAGATAAAACAGATCTGAAAAACATTTCCCCATCTCATCGCTTAGCCGCTTCCAACCATCTCGTCGTTGTCAATGTATGCGAGGAGAAGAGATGGTGAAGGAAGAGAGTGACGATCCTACCTCAGCCCTCACCAATCTAATGGTTGCATCTGGGGCTGAGTTAAGATGTGGGGATGGCCCTGTTTCCTTTTCACAAGATCCGTCCATAAGAAAGAGAGTTAGCATTCATCTCAAATTATCTCGTCCACAAGTGTTTTGCCGAAAAGTACCCCGCCTCCCTGGATCATTTCAGACATGTACCCCTCCCGTTCTCGTGCTTTTGGAGGACCTGCCGCCAGAGAGTGCTCGTGGAGACTTCTCCCCAAAGAGCGCACGTCGGAGGGGGAAGGACGGGAGGGATTAGCTGGGGCCTTTCTTCTGAACAACGTGGGTTGTATTCCACCAACTATCTGGTGGTTCGAAGGGCGGCAAGCAGATGGGGGTTTCCATGTTTGTCTTTGATTCTTGCTGGGTTGTCCAAAATCCCGGCCTGAAATGAGCTTGAGACGTTGGTGGAAAGTGATATAGGTGTGTCCCTGTATTTCTGACACAGCCATGTGCTTTGTAGCGAGCATGTGATGCGCGGCAATTTGCACAAGCCGCAAGCCATGTGCGTGCAGTATGCAGGATGAATCCCCGCCAATGTCTGCGCGAGGGGGAACCTCTCCTAGGAGCGCACGTGGCCGGAGGGGTGCAGAGGACGGACACGCTCTGCAAGCAATGCACTTGAGCACCATATTGCCGGACCGCTTATTTACCATGCTTTGCAGTTGCAGTATTATGAACGTGTATGAACTCAAGAAAGTGTCGACTGGTGCAGGATGAATCCCCGCCAATGTCTGCGCGAGGGAGAACCTCTCCTAGGAGCGCACGTGGCCGGAGGGGTGCAGAGGACGGACATGCTCTGCAAGCAATGCACTTGAGCACCATATTGCTGGACCGCTTGTTTGCCATGCTTTGCAGTTGCAGTATTATGAACATGTATGAACTCAAGAAAGTGTCGACTGGTGCAGGATGAATCCCCGCCAATGTCTGCGCGAGGGGGAACCTCTCCTAGGAGCGCACGTGGCCGGAGGGGTGCAGAGGACGGACATGCTCTGCAAGCAATGCACTTGAGCACCATATTGCCGGACCGCTTATTTACCATGCTTTGCAGTTGCAGTATTATGAACGTGTATGAACTCAAGAAAGTGTCGACTGGTGCAGGATGAATCCCTGCCAATGTCTGCACGAGGGGGAACCTCTCCCAGGAGCGCACGTGGCCGAAGAGGAATGGAGGACGGGCAACACCGGCTTAGCAAATTGTTGGCAGCAATGTACTCGTTGCCTTGCTGAGTCAAGACCCTCTGGACGCAACGGCAGAGAGAGAGAGAGAGAATGTAATTGAGTCAAGCAGCTGTTTTGGCAGAGTGACATGCGCCGTTTGTTTCAAGCATGTGGGCTGCAGTGCCATGCTGTGCCAAATACTGCTTCAGTGGGCTGAGACCAAAAAAAGAGCATGGAGCATCGGCAGGATGACTCCCCGCCAATGTCTGCACGTGGTGGAAACTCTCCAATGAGTGGCCGGAAAGGTGCAGAGGACGGGCTCCCCCTGGAAGGAATGCATAGTAGATAGGGGATCCTCATACACTGTTTATCGATAAATCAAATCCCCCTTATGAAAGAGACCAGCCAATGCTACCTTAGAGGGGTCCACAAGGTTTGGGGGGGGGGGGTACGTGTCAGGGGTAAATATTCATTAATCCCTTGTTGTGCACAAGGGAAATGATGGGAGGAGGCCACCCGTTTACGTGATGCTCAGCGATCACCGTCTTGGGTCTGCAGCGCGTGCAAATGCAAATAGGTTCGGTTTGAAGTTTGCAGCTTCCGCAAAAAATGAATGGACTAAACAGGATGCTCTAAACCCAGCTATGAGGGTTGATTGCCCTGCTTGCGGTACACCGTATGGGCAGCTTGAGGCTCGCAACAACTTTCGGTTTTCGTGTCGAGCAACCCTTCCAACAAAGAAGTGCCCTGGCCCCCTGGAGCGCTTCAGAAGACTACTTTGCTTTTGGAGGCACTTCCATGTTACGTGTTGTTGTTGTTGTTTTTAGCCAGCCAAACTCACGCAAAAACCGCCCCTTTCAGGGTTGTCGTTTCTGAATAGAGGAGTCTGTGAAAATGTAAGTTTGAGTTGGCCCTGTTGGGGCCAGTTTCAAGTCGACCCCAACCCACCAGGCTTCGAACAAAACTCGCGCCTTCGCAGGAGGCACCAGAGTCTGGCCGAGAGAGGCCCACGCTAGCCGGTCTTGCCGGGCAGGACTGGGTTTGGGGAAGTGCACGGATGCGCCGAGGGCAAAGTGACTCTGTTTGTGGAACAACCACGCGCATAGGGGGGTCCCGGGCGACTAGGGGAGTTACTGGGAGCTCAGAACTGCTTAGGAAGGGGTGCGCCCAATCTGGGGGATGCCGATCACCTCCTGAACCTTGTTTTAACCAGCTTCAGCTGGCTGGCTGGCTGGCTGGCTGACTGACTGGCTGACTAGCTGGCTGGCTGGCTGGCTGGCTGGCTGGCTGACTGGCTAACCAGCTGGCTGGCTGGCTGGCTGGCTGGCTGGCTGGCTGGCTGGCGGCAAATCAGCCAAACACTCACTTAACACCAGCTGCAAGCCAAGGGCATCCTAGCACAAATCAGCGAGGCCGGAGATGCTGGAGAACCAGGGCTAGTAACAATAAACACCCCACCTCTGCCCCATTTGTCCTTCATAGATCCGGGGAGGGCATGCCAAAATATGCGGCCTCCATGGAAGTGTCCTTCTGAAATGCCACATTTCGGCCAGCCACATAGGTCCTGTTGAGTTTCCTTTTCTGGAATCGTGACCATTTCAAGAGCTTTCCAGACTCATCTTGTGCTATATTTGGGTGAGACACGTGGTAATTATTGGTATGATTTTCTTAGCAGTTCCTTGCCAGTTGGCAATGAGTTGTGAGTGCACGCATGGTGTTTGTTGTCAGATCTGTCAGGCTTTTTGCACTTTTGCCTGCTGTGCAAGGAGCCAACTTCTGCTACTCCCAAAAGCAAAAGATCTTTTTTGACTGTCCCCCACGATAGACTGAATCCCAGCGGTGGTTGATTTCTTCCGACGAGTGCGCGCCCAAAACGGATTTTGTTGAACCCAAGTGACGGGAGGCGGGGGTTTTGGGAGTTTGGAATTCCGTGAAGGAAGCCACAGGTGATACCAAGGGCCCCGCGAAGCGACAAAAGTGGTTGGGATGGAAATCTCACGTCGGCACAGCATCCCACAATGCGCCAGCCCTATGGTTGTCAAGGGTGCTGATTCCCCAATCCCAATCCGGGCTAGCGACGAAAACGGCCTATTGGTGGCCTAGGGTTCTTTTTGGGTGCCTTTTGTTAAGAGGGGCGGGGGTCCCCTCTTTGGCGCGACAACTGGAACCAGGAGTTCCAGGAATTCAGGACCAGCGAGGCCGCGTCTGGAGCTCAAGATCTTGCGCTTGCGGTGTGTTGCTTCCCTAGGCCTGTTTGGTGAACACCCCGGCCATTGCAAATCCAGCCTGTTCATGTGTTTGGATGCATCTTCCTCAAACGTTTTTGGAGGGCTGTTTTGCTTCCCTCCGAAATCCGCTCCTGATTTCTCTGAGTGAATTATAGTGTGAACTGCAATCCGGCAGGAAAACCACCACACGTTGTCACCAGGGGAAATACCATGTAAAACCTAGAGGCCGTGGTTACCTACTACTCGCTTGCCCAAAGCGAATCGACCTTTTGGCCTTTTGGTTTCCCAATTTTGGTCCACTGTTACGGCCCAAGGTGAGCAATTTTTTTCTGGGCCCCGGCAAGTGAGTTTCACATCATCCCAAAGGTGTTCACTAGTCTTGCCGCCCCTCCCCCCCCCCCAAGTTTTTCACATGCCAAGGGTTAACCCTTTTATCAAACCTTTTTTGACATGCCAGGGGCTTCCCACCCTCCCACCCAACCTCTTCCCCACCCCATGATTTTTCACATGCTTCGGGCGAACCCATAGCAGCTGGCAGCACTGGGTCTCTCCAAATCGGCGTTGCATTCAAAGGGTTGGGTTACAGGAACAAATCCAGGAAAACCGCTCAAAAAAGGTGTTTGGGGCCATTGACCGCCTATTAAGGGTGTTTTGGGGCCATTTAGCGCCTATTTTTTTGTGCAATTTGCCGCCTATAAAGGGTGTTGTGGCTAGTAAGGGTGTTTTGGGGCCATTTGGGCCATTTACCGCCCATTACCGCCTATTAAGGGTGTCTTGGGGCCTATTCAGTGAGTTTTGGGGCAATTTACCGCCTATTTTTGGGCCATTTAGTGTCCATTAAGGGTGTATTTACTGCCTATTAAGGGTGTTTGGGGCCACTTCCTGTGGATTTTCCTGCAACCAAACCCTTTGATACCGTGAGGCCCAGCACCTGCGGCGCCTGTTGCGCCGCTTGCCCGGCACCTCGGAGACGAGCGGAGCGGCGGCCCCGAAACCAAAACACCAACCAGAGAGGCGGATTGCCTGGAAGGGACTGTATACCAGGGAACTACTGCTTTGGGCAGTTGAGCCACGAGCTCAAAACCGACTCGGGTAAGGCAAGGCATAGCTGCGGATATCCGCCTTATTTTTTTATGCGATTCTGGGTGGACCATTTGAATACCAGGGTTTGATTATGACTCGTGTTGTATTGTTTTTTCCCCCCCCCCCCCGCCCCAACAAAGCGGCACCGAAAGGACTTTCTTCCCCTTGAACAGTGGAAAGGAGTGAGGCCTTTGAAGCCAAGTCCACCTGGGATGGGCCTTCTGGGCCTCTCATGGGTTTTTTTGAATTCAGCGTCTTGTCGAACTGGCTGTGGCTCAAAAAAGTGGTACCAAAATGGAACCCTGGTAAGTGGAAACATGGACCCACACCTGCGTAACCCTAGCTCTTTGAATTTTGAGCCACTGCCAACTATAGGACCCCCTACCCCTCAGAAGGTCTAAGAATAGGGTTAATTCGCCAAGCCCAATGTGACGTCAACCGCTGACAAACAAGGGAGGTACTTGGTGTGGAAGTCTGGTTGACCGAACAATCCCCCAAAACAGCGGGTATTTGGAGGGGATGTGTCGCTTGCTTTGCTTTCAGCGGGTCAATCCCACCATGGGTGAGTAGCTGCCGAGCGACAACCCATGATGAAGGTCTGGTCCTTTTTGGGGGTCCGCTATGTCAGTTGCAGAGTAATAGTGTAAAAGTTGCAGAACAGTAAGTCCTAGATATGATATATGATTAAAAGGCTCGTGGGGTTTCACTCAAACTGGTCAACAACACAAAACGGTTGCCTTTTTCTGTCAGGGTCACTGGGCCACGGTGAAAATACGGTTTTTCGGCGTTGCTCTTCCCAAAAAGTTGCGCTCAGTGGTAACGGTATATCTATCCATCAGTGGATGGAGTGAGATAGGTTCCCTCCCAACATGGAACCCACCTTTTAGAGCAAAGCACCCCCCCTCACATTCCATAGCAAGGTGGGTGGCAGGGTATTTGCTCTATTGAAGATGGTTGAAGGATATGATAGGGTATGTCTGGGTACCTGCTGAACCTGAACACAGCGAGTTTGTGGACACACCTTCCGTTTTGTGTACGGCTTCTAGCAAAAGCCTTCCAAAGCCTCTATATAATATCATCCACATGTTGTAACGTGCAACAGTTTGCGGCTTGGGGCAAAACATAAATCACATGTTCGAGGGAGGACACCTGCGGAGTGCCACCTTTGCACCATGACCACTGCGCACGTGGTAATTATTTGGCATTCAATTCGTTGACTCGGGCCAATGGAAATGAGGTTTTCCGGGAGTAAGACGAGCTCATTTGCAGAGGTATGACAAGCACTCAAGCACCGCTCCGGCCATCGACAAATTCCGCCACGCGCTGACTGGAGGTTGCAAGCGGCGAAGGGGGGATGAACTCGCCGATGATGACGATGATGAAGAGCAAGGGGGTGCAGGCACGATGTTCTTCTTGCGCAAACTAGCCGGGAGCATCCTTCCGAGGACATCCCTCCGAACATGATGCCTTCCCTTGACAGTTCGACAGAGTTTCTTTGCGGCAGACATTTCTGTGTCCAGACGGCATATCTCTTTCTGTCTGTTAGGGTGGTTGCAGGGGAAGGGTGATTCTGACCGTATGTGAGGATTTCCTGAAGTCCTCATATTTGCCCTGGGGGTGTAGCCACCGGCAACATGACCTTTGGGGCCAAATTTTAGCCGAGTCTTCCTTTGGTGTGATGTCTGAAGGGACACGCTAGGAAATCTTCCCCCCTCCAGGGACGGGGATTCACCAGGAGGCCTGTCTTCAATTTTCGAAGCGCTCATTCTACATGCAGGATTTGCATGGCGTGGGGCATCAGCTTCCCAGCCGTCGAGAACCAATCCTTTCACAAGAACTTTGGTGCATTTTGCTTGGATGTTAGGACTTCAACTTTTTGCCAACTAGTCGGTTTTCCATTAAACCACTAAAAGTTAAACTTTTAGCAGGGGAGCAGAACGCAACCGACATGCCAATCGTGTTCACCCAAGTTGCAAAATCCCCCCCCCTCCCCTCCCAAAAAAAATCAAGGTGAGAGTACGCATATGTCAGTTTTATGTTTGTGTACATACAGATGCCTGCAGCCACTGAGGAGGTATGGTTTCCCAGCGAATTGGCGCCCCCAACCCGAGACGTGGGTGCAGGCGGAGGCGGCGGCAAGCGGTCCTCAGGACTCCGACCGCAAGCTGCGCGCATTCCCAGTTCAACTTGCTGGTGCGCAGCAGGGAATGACCCATGGCTTGGGAAAATAAAAGCCACAGGGGATGGTTGAAAGGGGTCATTCCCTCCTTCCCTGCTGGCCAGCAAGTCAATGGCACGCTTAATTAAAACCCAGTTCCTTGGTCGTCTCTCTTGTTTCAAAGCTGTGAAAGAGCCGGCGGACGGAGAAAGCCACCCTTGGTGTGCTTGCAGTTTTGGTGTCTTTCCGTGCTGTTCGGCTAGTGCGCACTTGCAGGGTTGCAGCGGCGGGCGCGTGACAGGAGACAAAGATTCGGTGGGCCTTTACCTCCGCTTGGCGGACCACTCCTTTGTGCCTCGTCATGGGGTGGCTGAATTTTCGGGAAAGGCATCCTCATTCCAGTCATCTGGCTTGTGCTCAGCAGGGAATGACGGAATTACTCCGTTCCTTCAAGGGAATTTTTCGGGTTCATTCCCTCATTCCCCTCTGAGCACCAGCAAATCATGGAACGGGACGACCGGGAGGGGGTGAGGGGACGATCGGGCGGCTACCCGCTCGAGCGGCCTTTTGTCCACTTCTCCGATTGGAAAAAGTTTCTAGGCCCTACCGCTCAGAGAGGTTCTCAGAACCCTTTGGTCAGAAGGCGTAGGGTTCTAAGAAACTTCCTGGGATGGACCTTGAGCTCCTGCCCTCAGAATTTCAAACGAAGTCCACTGCGTGCCCAACTGGTGACTGGTGGTGTCGCCTTAGTAAGGCAAGGTTCTCACACCTGAACTTGTCTCTGCTTCGAGTCCGGGCAGCTACCTATCCGTTGAGCGGTGAGGTTTCTGTATTCACAACAACTAGACACATGCCTGGCAAGAATTTCGTCAATGGTTTGGCCTCGAATCAGTTTGAATCATGATTCCGGGTTTGATGATGCCTCTGTTCATTGAGCTGCGCCGAGTTTTGAAGGGGATTTCATTTGTACGAGATAAATGTCTTGTTAGGGGGTGCGTGTTGATGTCGAATCATATTCTGCAAAGCTCCTTTGGAGTTGGTCGTCCCGACCATTGTTTGTCTTTTGACCTGCCTTTTGATTGAAAGCACGCCCCGAAGGAGAAGAAACCTTCTCATTGCCGGACTATGCCGAACTTAGATGTTCCCTTTGAACCAGCAAAAGTTAATTGACTTGTTCCAGGCACCCCTCTTGCTTTCTGGCCAAGTTGTGAGCCAAACCCGGCATATCGGGCGTTTACTATGGAAGACCCTTGACTTTAAGGCTTTCAGGGGGGCAACAGCCTAAGCCATCACGAGGCAGCTGCACAGGTGTCAAAGAAGGTCCCTCTTCTTTTTGGTTTCCCGTAAGCCGATCCAAAGGGTACCACCAAAACAACTCACACTATGGGTGTTTCTTTTTTTGAGGGTACCTGTTTGTTGGTTTTAAAGGGAAGCCAACGGGAAGCCACCATTTTGGAGGGGTCCCCGAAAAACGACACCCCTATATCTTGATTTGGAGCCGTAACCATAGCCGCCGAACACAGACTAGTGATCGTTTTGGCCGTTCAAGAACCACAACCCTTGATTCCCTTTCATGAGGGGTCCAGCTTATGCTCACAAGATTTGTTGGAGAGTCCGGCCCAGCAGGTGCAAAATTCCTCTTCACCTGTAGCCCTTGGGTTGAGAGAATCCACTGGCTCGCACCCGTCGCGCTGTCCCGCCTTTCGACCGTCCCACTGCACCACCGCGTCCAGGAGCTCGAGTTCGGACCCCGAAATAGGTTTGGACGCCCTTCGTGTCCCATTAAAACAACCCAAGAAAATGCCCTTGGAGACAAGACATCCCTCGAAATGGGTGGATTTCCTTCAATTTTCCCTTTAAAACACGCCAAGAAAATCCTCTTTGACACGGACCTCGGCGAATTTCCGGTTTCCTTCGATTCGTAAACGGCGACTCCCGCGCCCAGGCGGCCCTGCGGAACTTGGCGGCGCACTCGCAGAGCCGCAAGCAGCAGATCCTGGAGCAGGGCGGCGAGCAGGCGAGCGGAACCGGTGAGCGGAACCGAGGGCGCCCCAAATCGCTTGCCATGGCTAGGTCCCCCAGTATTGCCCTTCGCTCTTTTTTTTGGGGAGGGTTCCCTTCCCAATAGACGATATACAGAAAAGAAGGGTACTTTGGGGAAGGACCCATGCTACACCCGCATCTTAGCGCGGGCTCCATGCTGGCTGTTCAGCCCCCAGCTTGAGAAATGGAATGACCCCGACCAAAACCATCCCCGATTTGGTTTGCTTTAAGGGGATCCCCATCATTCCTTCATTCCCTACTCAGCACCAGCAGGAATAGTTGTGTGGTCTACTTTCCCAGGAGAAAGGGGGACGGGGAATTTTTCAAATTTGGTCGGAGCCCCCTATTTAACACCAGTGTTGCCCCGTCCGGTTGTGGTAGGTACCCTTTTGCCTCCCTTTTGGTTTTCTGCTGCTGTTTGTTGAATATCAGCCCACAAGGAAAGGCGCGGTTTTGAGCAGTTGGCTTCTTGAACATCATGCAAAACAAAATATGGTTTCTGGAAAATGATTCAAAGCAACAGACTGATGTCTTTCGTTCTCATGGCCCACCGTGCAAGCGCCCAATCTATTATAGGGCCCCTGATCAAGCCGTGTTGGGGCCCTGAACCGTTTCGTGCCAGTCCCACCCAACAGCTGCACGCGAACAGGGCAATTTTTATCAACCAATCTTACAACCGCTCACACTGATTTGAGGGTCGCTTTCTGTGATATCACGGCATCCCCTCTGAAGCCATCTTGTGGTCACGGGCATTCTCTCTTTGCTATGGCTGAAAGGGCCGCCTATCTTCCACAAGCATGACCATTGCGACGTCAGTGACATTGGCTTGCGGGTCCCGAGCGATGGAACTCACTGGCAATCCTTACCCTCCCATTTACCAATCCTTTTGGGTTGCAAAAGGGGCTGCTCCATTTTCAAAAGCCCAGATGGCGAGAGGGCACGTACTTGTTTCGCTGAGTTTCGGCAGGTCTTTGCTAGTGTTCCGCTGGAGGAGGGGATTTCCAGCCGCTGAGTTCTGCCCCCGGGTTACTTTCATATTCTCACTTCCTGAGTTCTTGGACTTGAGCCACTGTTTGGGTCTGGACAAATTTGAGAGCATAGGTGTCCGTTTTGGTTGCTTTGGTGGAAAAATAGATGGCCCTGGTTTACATGGTGGTTTGATCATCTACCAGGGCCATCTATTTTCCTAGAGGTAAACAACAAGCTGGGACTTTTTGGAACCATCAACTCAGGAAGTGAGAAATTGCAGGGAGACTTGTGCTGCACCTTACCTTTCAGGTGGCGGTGGAGGCGACTGGCGGTGCTGAACTTCTTCGGTCTTCGGGGGGGCTTGGTTGCTTCGGTCCAATAGTCCAATGGGCAGAATTGGCGGTTGTTTCTTTGGGGCATTTTGCCAAGGGATGTTAGGACTTTAACTTTTCGCCAACTAATGGGTTTTCCATTAAACCACTGAAAGTTAAGCTTTCAGCAGGGGAGCAGAAGGCAACCAAGTTGTTTTGCCAAGTTTGATCAACTAGTGATTTAACTGGTACTGGCTTGATACACGCACATGGGACGCTACTAAATTTGAGGAGGAGAGTCTGGGACACACGAATTATATGGTCACTCTAGGTGTGCTCATAAGACTTATCAGGGAAACTAGCAAGAACAAGTCCCAATTTTGAGTGCGTGTCTCAAAGCTGGGGCGGCATTGCAATTGTGGGAGTGTCCTTTCGATTTGCCGATGAGCTTACCTGGAAAAGGGTGGTCGTCCACCTACAAAAGGTTGTTGTCCCCTTGATTTCCCCAATGCTCCCACCTAACCCAGGACACTTCTAAAACCAAGACATACCCAAACATAGCATAAGGTGCTGGGGTCCATTGAAGGCTTCCGCATTTCTTATTCGAGTGTCTGTTTTGGTTTGTTTGTATTATACCCTTTTTAATGACCTTTGTGGGTCACTTAGGGTAACCAAGTGGAACATCCTTAGGGTCCCAATCCGATCTTTGACACGCACACGCGCACGCACAAGCCAATATTTGAGGCTTCGGCTGTTTGGGCAAGCGAGATCTCCCGACATCCCACGGGATTTGGAACGACCTCGCGAAGGAACGTAACCCTCTCACGCAGCACCAGCTTCGGGCGAATGTCAGGGTGCTTATTAACTGTCACTCATTTTGTCCCAAGAAGCCCAAAGAGGATGGGTATTTGCGCAACCGTCCAATACAATCTTTGGCGCATTTGCTTGGATGTTAGGACTTTGACTTTTTGCCAACAGATGGGTTTTCCATGAAACCACTAAAAGTTAAGCTTTTAGCAGGGGAGCAGAAAGCCACCGAGAAATGACATCCGTCCACACCATCCATACCTTGACTTACCCAGCTTTTAGAACGCAGCGCTCCCCAGATGGGGCATGGAATGCCCGGCTGCCTGATATCAAATTCCGAAAAGAGCCCCGCCTTTCTTGAGATAAAGTTCAAATAAAGGCGAACTCCATGATGAGCCTCCTTGGAATAAACTGGGGTCTCCTCCTCCTCCAAAATCACACAGGTCGGCGAAATATGAACTGGACATGTGTGAAATTATGTGCCCTCCGGTCTTGTAACGTAGTAAGGAGAAGCGTATCATAATGAGTGGCGCCTCAAATTCCATCCACTTTCAGTTTGCAGCTTCCCCACTAAACATTGTCAACCCACTTGCAAAGGAGCCGTGTATTGTTTTGCTTCCCCACGCAACCGACCACGAATTTATTTCATTATTTTATGTGTCCTACCGTTCGAATGGGTTACTTACCTTTGTTGCATTTTGCTTGGATGTTAGGACTTTAACGTTTTGCCAACTAATGGGTTTTCCATTAAACGACTGAAAGTTAAGCTTTCAGCAGGGGAGCAGAAAGCAACCGAGTTACCGGGGTCTCGCCAAACGCTTGGGGGCCTCCCCACGTGGCGGACGCGAGACGCGAGGCCCTGGGCGCATTTCGGCTGCAGAAGGTGGCGGAGAACGCCTGCATCGCCTCCGCCGCTCTGGTGCGAAACCTCTCCGAAGGTGCCACGGCGGGGTACTGTGGATGGACGAAATCCACCTAAGACCCCCTGGAATGACTGCGCGGGGGGTCTCAGGAACACTTCTTTCTCTTGTTCACCCCATATTGCACCTCTTTGAAACCATGGGAAGCCATTGGTTGTTCGTATTTGCAGGGGAATCATTCATCCCAGGGTTTCTTAGATGGTGCAGGATTTGGTCCATCCACAGTATGGCTGTGGTTGTCAAAACCGTTTTGGGATCCCATTTTGGTTGGTAGGTGCACCTCACCACCCATTTTGGAGCCTATTTGAGTGGTTGGATTGGAATGTTCACTTGGGGGTACGATTTGGATTTTGGCTGATAAACCTCCAACCTCCCGGTTCTTAATCAGGAGCCTTGGAAGAAAGGAATCGCCACCAAAAAGGGACCCCTATGATGTGAATAACTGGGGGGGTTTGTTACTCAGCGGTCAATGCCAAAACGGTGTTGTTGCCTTTTAGCCTTCCTGCACACCTACTCCAAAGGGAGACCTGGCCAAAAAATGCCTGAGACGGACCCACATGTGTCTGAATGGGGAACCCTCACGGTGGGGTGTTCCTCTTGGTTGCCCTCTAAATCCACGGTGGACGGTATGTGACGACAGCCCCCTCAAATATGACAAGGGCCGAATCGCGGCTAAGAAAGAAACGCCAAAATGCGCAACCCCTGAAATTGGCACTTTCCTGTTGGTTTCCGTTGAAGGGAAGTTTAAGACACAACCAAATTCACCCAATTTGGAGTGGGGGTGGGCAAAAGCTGAAGTTTTGGCCGTTGTTTGGACCTACGTATTCTCGTTGGTCGTTTGTGGTTCTTGTGGTTGTGTCATCAGCTTGTTTGTTGCTCAATGTTGGTTTGTTTTGGTTTCCTGCCGGGCTATCATTCTGATGTCCTGTTGGTTGCTCCTTGTTGGCTTCCCAGCTCACGTTTGCACTCATATATGGCAGGCTCACAAACTAAAGTGCGCTAATTAGTGCAGATTGGTGGTTTGGGGATGCCTTCCTTGCCCTTTGTCATGCGAAAGGATGTGAGCCTCCAGCCTGTTGCAAGCCCAAAGGGGCATTTAGCCAAGAGCAACGGTCAGCATTCCGCGCCATCGAAATATTCTAGACGGGGAATCACGTTGCTATAGCAGGGTTGCTTACTGAAACCCAATGTTGCTTAGAATGAGGGCATGTTTATGCGCCAACTTTGGCGGACCTCCTTTGTTTTGACACATGCGCTGCAGTCCAAAGCAAGGTAAACTGTGCGTACGCACCTGACTAGGCACAACATCATCCGATGTGGTTTGAGTGCACAATGTTGAGGTACGTCCGGTGGAACGTGAAAATCAGAGGCCCCCCCCGCCCCATAGCACAAATTTGTGCGTACAACGGGACCATTGGTACGGTTTTTTGGCTGGCTCAGGCTTTCTAGCGTGTTGTCTAAGCCACCACAAGCGGGACAAAGAAATCTGGCCAACCAAAATTCACATCGGATCTTGTCAGTTCAAAAGTGTGTTTGTCTTTATGCTGCGCCATGCCCCATTTCTCTCTGAACCACAGCTTTGTCACCACAACCCCTTCAACACTTGAGCCTTGAGCGGAGTAGGCCCAGCTGAAATATCTCATTCATGATGAATTTGTTCAAGGCACCGGTTGAGATGAATTGGAGAACTGCAATTGCCTTGAACCCCATCCCCCGGCCCCCCGGGCCTCCCCAAAAAAATCGCGCGCTTGACCAGCTCGCTGGGCCAGGTGCCGACGGCCCCTCTGCCGCGATTGTTTGCCGACGTGGCTCGTTGCCCTCCCCAGATTTTTGGTCATGGTTTCTGAGCGGGGTCATTGTTGTGACCATTTCTGGGGGTTGTCAAAGTCGGATTTTTGCCTTTCACCTTCCACTTGGGATACTGGTCGAATATTGTTCCTTGGGCTGGTGTTTTTACTACGGGAAAAACACCAGCCCCAGTAACAAAACAAAAAGCTACCGGGGAGCCAAGCTAATCACGAACCAAGTCTCCATCCCAGCCGAGAAGCCTACAATAGAAGGGAGGTCGTGGCCAAATTCGCGGACCCGCGGCCAGTAAGGCTTAAGGGGAGAAAAAACGCGTGCTCCCCAGAACAGGGCTGCTCCGAGCATGAGACCCCCAGTGGGGCTTGATATTCCAACAACCATTGGTAAGGTTCCAAGTAGTGGCAAAAGTGATTTTTGGGTGGTCTCCCTGATGTTTCCCCATGTAGATGACCTTTTAGTCAACCCTGTGTCTGGTCTCCTTTGGCTTCCCTTCATCGCCACGGGCAACTTTTCTGCTGGCAATCAGCCGGATTGGAGCCCAGAGGAAGGTTCGTTTGGAAGCTGGTGAAGTTTTTGAGAAGAGAAGGTTCCTTCTGAAGCTTTCCCAGCCTGGGGAACCCTTCTAAGTCTTAAAAGGGTTTCAAGTTCCCCTCACTCCCATGGCCCTGTATGGGTGTGTCTCCTTTTTTTGATGGTACCCCTTGTTTGGTGTTGTTGTTTTAAGTGAAGCCTAACACAAATCCACCTTTTTGGGCTTTTCCTGAGGCGTTGAGGCCTTGGCGGAGGCAGGGTTCCTGAAGATCGCAGAGGCGCCCGGGCAACCACATCGTTTAAACCATGAAAAAGGATTGGCACACACGCAGATACCCAGCAGTCTGGGATCCATTTGTGAGGGGCAGCGGGTAACCTATAGACCAGTGGCACACTTGAAGCATCATCAACCACCTGTGTGGGAGGACTCGAATTGCTCTTCCTTGGTGGCTCAGGCGGATCATGTAGTCGAGCTTCGACCAGTTTCTTTCTTGTTTGCAGATCGTCGTTCAAGCTTCCGGTTGGATCCCAAGAAAGCGGCTGGAGCGTGCTAGCAATTCACTCGCCCAAGCCCGCGTTCCTTGTTGTTTCGTCCCGAGTTTCGGGACGGAAAACCCTCATACTGTCCCAAACATTGCACTCAGGGACAGCTCTCGAATGGACTTGACACATGGAGGGTGCCGCTGGGCAGTCGAGGTACGTGGTACATGGCTGCTTTCGTTACCAAAGTAAGGTTCTCTCGCTATGATCGAATCCATTTGAAGGGTATCACGGCAAGTGGTCCTAAAACCAAGTTTCCCGCCATGTCTGGGTACCTACCCCTACTGACCTAGCGGGCCCTGGGAGCGGGCGGTAAGCTATATGCCCCGGTGAGTGCGTTTGCGGCTTGAATTCGCTGGGTTGGATGGGTGATTTTCTCAATCCAAGCAGCTACAGGCATGTGAAGAGGCGTGCCACCGAGCTCCAGTGCGATTTATGGGCTTGACCCCTGCCCTGACTAGAAGGCCCTTGGTTGACAGCCCACAGGAACCCAGGAACACGGTGCAGGCTACGTCAAGGGAAGCACATTGATTTACTTTATATGGTGTTTTCCGTATGTACATTGTTACATTTCATGTATGATCTAGCTTATGCAGTGCTTATGCCCTTAACATACCCATTGACTTGTCTATTTTTTTTCGTATCCAATCGGGCACCACTTCCTCCCCCGCCACAAAGCGGCGCAGGAGGAGTTGGAGGACCACCGGGGCGCTTTGCCGGTGCGTCGCCACATTCTGGCGGCGCTACAGAACATGGCGGCCTGCGTCGCGGTGAGCGGCTCGCTGAGAAGTCGTCTGAAACTCCAGCAAATACAAACTTCCATTTGTTTAATATGTGTTATGTTCCCTTGTTGGTTTTAAAGGGAACCTATCAGTATGTTTTTTTTGGTCCAGGAGGGTTAAGCAACTGGGGATGATTTTTTTCCAGGGCAAAAAGTGCAAATGGAAGCACAGGAACTTGCAGTGTGGGTTGGTCACTCAATGAAACTGGAGCATAAACTATGGTAAATTATGGTAAACTCCCGATCTATCTCAATGTCGATGGGGTCGGCCAGAGCTCGCGCAAGTCTGCCGGAGGAGCGGACACATTGGATGGTTCGCAATGAATCCTTGCCACTCCTCAAAGGGACTGGTTGCATTGCAGTGGCAGTCTAACTGACTTCTCCGGCTTCTCCCTGAAAACAAGGTTTGGATAGCTCCCAACGCAGCTTCCCTTCGTTATGATGGCTGCGCCAGTTTCGCGTTTTGCAGCGAGGAACCGCTGACTTGTGGCATTCGTTTATCATTGCCAGACCTTTGTTTCCGTTTTCGCTTTTTTGTTTTGATTGTGTAGGTGTTCCCTTACAACCGGCCCAAAGTCAGAGCATTTGGCAAGGCTGCTCGCCCTCGCCTTTGCGGTGCAGAAAACACGTTCAATAAATCACTCTTAAACCAACCTTGGCTCGGCTGCAGGTGATATGGGGGAACTCCCCTCCATCTAGATATGTGTCGAAAATACGGGAGCACGCCAAACAACGGTGCTAGTTGTTTTGTTTCCCTTCAAGCCAGCCCGGAAAGTGCACCCTCAAAAATCAGAAAATAAGGCAGAGTACGCATTTTTTGCGACCAGCATTCACAGCTTGTCAACCGCAACATGTTGCAACTATGAAAAAGGGTTGACAAGGCAACGTTGATTTGTTTGGTGCATCCACAGTGAGCCACTGGGTTCAGTTTTTATTTTTCATTTGCAGGGAATGAAGGAATGCCCCCCATGAACTATGTTTTGTGGCTTCCTCGAAGGGGGGGCCCTGGCTTCATTCCCCCATTCCCTACCGATGTCGCACCCGATCGCCAAGTCAAATCTGAGGCGAGGACATCTTTCCGAGCCCCGGGTCCTGGCTGGACCTTTGCTCCATCACGGTGCAGCTCGCCGTGGAGGACGGAGCGAGTGCCCAGCGAGAAATGTCGACTGCCATGGGTCGGTTTCTGAGGCTGTTTGGGGTTGTTCTCTTACTTCCTGAGGTCCGTTTCGGACTTGATACCTTTTTGGGTTTGGGCCATTATAGTGGCAAATGAACAGTTCCGACTTTGTTTGCCCAGTCCACTCAGGAAGTGAGTGTTTGAATGGCAGCCAAAAGCAAACCAGCCATTTTGGGGGTGCCCTATTTTCAAAGACCTAGATTTCGACCCCCTGAAGGAAAAAACACTGAGTCCCTCTGAGTGCGGTTGCATGCCACACTTGAGGATGTCGCCTTCATGGACCCAGACCCAGTAGAAGACATGTTCAGGGCCCCTTTTTTCCAGGACTGGGCCTCAGGGGTTTACATGAAAGCATAAAGGCATTCAGAGGGCTGTCTAAAGGACCCTTCATACATTTTGCCTCTGTGGGTGCAAGAGAAGCAAAAAACGGGTCAGTCCCTTCCCACTCGTTTCAACCAGATTCGGCCGCTGATGTCTTTCTGAATTCGTACGCTGGTTTGGTAGGGCAAACGCCTGCTGCGTAAACTTAGGGCCTTGTCGTTTGAGAAGTTTTCACAACTAGGTCCCCCAGTATTGCCCTTTTACCCTTTTTTGGGGGAGGGTTCCCCTACTAAAATGCACTAGAGCAAAAAGGGTATACCCTTATTCTAGCCTCTCTACTGGAGGACCTAGACAAGAAGTCCCGTGCCTTCCTTCCCATGGGAGTCTTCCGAACACGTGTGCTGGAAGCGACTTGCCCTCCCCACCCCCACTGCCAAGACAGCAAAGAGTTAGCCTATATACCTGCCTGTGTCCTCGAGCTTTGTTCCCATCTCGGCGCTCAGGGAGCTATTGATTTGGGCCTTCGGCCAGGACAAAGATTCTCGCACCACACGGCAGGCGTTGAGAGCTCCTTGGCCTGCAAGTGGGGAGGGATTTCAAGGCAGAATCATTGGAATGGTCCACTTATCACAAGTGAGTGAGTGGGTGCGTTCTTCCCGCTCAAGCAAACATGTGTATATGTTGGCATATCAACAGAAAAGTTAGCACCGTACTGCAGCTGCGGAAGGCTTGCGGAAGGTTCTTTTCGCGGAGGGACGCCGTTGGGAGAAACTTTGTTTAGTCCTCTTTGACTTGCCACGCGCGTCTCCGTCGAAGTAAAAGAGGTGCTAGCAGTCCATAGTGGTTTGATTTCGTTTGGGTGCTTTTGGCCAAGTTCACACCGTGAAACCTTGGCGGAAGGGTTTGATGCAAGACACATTCAAAGGAATAAACACCACCACTCACAAGTGCGGGTATTCACAGCCATGGTGAGGGCCCTTTTTGGACCTTGATCTGCATTTTCTACCGCGCCAAAATAGAGATGACGGGCACTGAGCACAGGATCCGTACTTAGGGGATGTCTTTGCAGGGTGACCTTGGGAATGTTGAAAGCATGTGAAAGCTTGAGGGAGCTGTCCTATTCGCTGCTTTTTTCGCCCTCCCCGAGTTCCTGGGCTTACTTGCGTTTTGAAAGACAGTTCTTACGGCAACAGGCTTTTGGCAAATCCACTCACGTGAGTTTCTGGTTGGCAAAGGGGGTGTTTTTTTCAGGGTTGGGTAGTGCATTTTTTGGTAAACCTTGGGCCTTAGAAAAACCGAGGGTTTGGGAAGTGGGGACCTCATTGACTGACTCTTTGGGCCAGGTTTTGTGCGTTCCGGGATGCCCCTGTGGTTTTGTTTGTCGCTTCTTCAGCGTGGCTGAAGCCTGGGGAGGCCTAGCTGCTAGCTTTTGGGGGAGCCCCCCCCTTTGTATTGTTTGAGTCATGGCGTCAGCAGTGGCGGCATGAGGTGTTTTAACATTGCCCAATGGCGCTCGCGATCTTTGGTGACTCCTGGGTGTCTCGGAAAAGCGGTCCCTTCATTTCACCATGTGGAAAAAAACAGTGGTTTCCCAATAGACCAGGTTAGACAAAAAACGGCCGAACCCCGAAATCATTGAATTAGATCTAACTCATAGTTTAAGACAAAATCCGTGTAGAACGACAAAACTGTCGAAACCGTAGCCCCGAAATTAAACTAATAGTTCAAACAAATCTACCGAATCGACAGAAAACAATCTACCGAATCGACAGGTTTTCGAAACAGAATCGACATGTCGAAAGATGCGGTTTAGACTAAGTAGAATAGACCGAATTCATAGAAATTGGTCTACGCAAAGTGTGGCAAAACTGCGGGCAAACTACGAGAAAAGTTTGGCTTTCTGCTTGTGATTTACCTTGGCTGGGTAAGTTCGCCTGGGCGCAACAAGCTGCGCAACAAGCTGCCCGGCACTCCTTTTTTGCGAACTGGCTGGCCGATCGCCCAAAATGTTGCTTTTAAAGCCACTCGCAAGCTGTAGGAAAACTTCAAGGAAAGTACGGGGAAATTGCGGGTTTGGCGTGTCTAAAACTGCGGCTTTTCTATTCTGAGCCACCAGCAGTTTTCAAGAAGTTTCGAGGAAACTTCGGGTTTTGGGGTTTGTCTAAAAACATGAATTAGACCGAACATTCTGCCTAATAGGCAGAATTCGTTTAGCCTAATTAGACTATTTCCACGCCCGAAAAACAACCGAAAAAAACTACCGAATAGACAGAACAAGTTCTAACTAATAGTCACAAGAGTTGCCCGTAGGCAAACATGAAATAGACCGAATCCGCAAATTTGTCGAATAGACAGTTTTCTGACTTATCCGGTCTATTGGGTTAGTCATTTCTTCGTGTTTTCTACTGGAGCAGGGCTCCTTAGAAGATACATTTTGCCCATTTGAAACCTGGCTTTTTCAACACCAAAACAAAGGGACACCACCATTTACAAGCCACCACCATTTACAAGTTGCAATGTTCAGGTGTATTCACTGTAAGGATCCCGGTTGAGGACCTAGTCCGTCAACCAACACCAGTCACCGGGCAGCATGCCATCGCGCCCAACCGGGCGGGCGCTGGTGGGCGCGTCTGGTCCGAGGCCATGGGCAACTTCGCGGTGCTCCGGGCCGCCAAGGAGAGGCTGACGCATCCGGGGCCGCCAGGTCCCCCTTGGTTCCTGGTTCATTGAAACAGCGGCTTCCCCTCTTTCCACTTGGCTGGTACTTCCGTGTTTTTTTTTGTTTTTGTCGTAGATGTTTATATATTATATATATACATACATATACATATACATATTTATCTACACAAATTTATAAATACACATTTATATATACATTATATATATATGAGGCTTTCCGTAAATAGCTGTATTCGTTTTTTAGTGGCTAGTGGCGGTGGTTATGTTGGTAAGTAAGTGAAACGCAGGCCGCGGAAGCTCCGCGGAAGCGGCGCGGAAGCTGCGACCTGTTACGATTCTCAAGCTGGATCTCGGAAAGTTCCAGATCAACGAGCTGGAGCTGAGAAAGTGGCCTTCGCGTACTACATTTGTACTAAAATTTGCGATTCTCAAGCTGGAGCTCGGAAAGTGCCCGGCGCGTACTGAAATACAAACCCCGCGCCTTTTCGTTATGTAAGGGGACGTCCCTTAACTTGTTTTGCAGGCACGAACCATTGTAAACCGATACAGAGGACAACAAGAAAAAAACGATACCACCAGAAGCCATCAAGACACACATCAGGTCCAAGCTGTTGTCGCAAACCAAGATTGCGGAATCAGACATTTGCAGGGCCCAAACCGATACCCAAACCGATGCCCAACCGATACCCAACTTATTAGCTGCTGTACAAATCAAACTGACCATGCCTGGACAAGAAAACGGTTAGGTTTGAATGATGCCCCGAACGATGACCAAACGATGCCCATATCGCTGGCCTAGCCCGCAAACTGGAACCAAGAGCCTGTCCCAGAATGTCCTCGAGATCTTCTAAGGAGATGCCTTGGTCTGGATCTGCTGAATAACCAATCGCATTTTCACAGCTGACCAGAGCAGATGAAGAGCATTCGCAGCTATGGATGCTGCAGAAGGTACGCTTTGCGCCGCGGAAGCGGCGCGGAAGCGGAGGGATCGCCGCTTTTTTTCTCAGTGTTTTACGGAAACCCTCATATACATACATACATATACATACATACATACATACATATCTTTGGCCTGTGAAGGCTCACGACTTCCTTTAAGTTTTGCCGAAAGCTAGACCTTTGGCCAGGAACATACGTTGCTACAACTTTGTTTTGGCGGCTGGGATGTGGCAACGATTCCTGCCTTACTGCGGGCCTTTGGAACCTTGCGGGCGTCAGAAAAACGCCGTTCTCCTGAACACTGAATGCTGAATCGCGACACTCGGATTGAATGGATTTGCTCCAGCTCCTCGTCGGCCGCTTCTATGTAGGTTTGTTGCATGTGCGGATGGTCCTCACTAAGCTTCCGATTGCATCCGGCACAGCCTCCGGAGCCAAAAAGGTTTGTTGCAGCATTTGTCCATATGTCTTCTGGAACTGCGATGGTGAGTGAGTCTTGTTGTGACCGCTTCTTGGTTTGAAATGTAGGGCTCCTCCACTTCGGGTCGGCCTTAGGATGCAGATGGAAGGCTTTGACAATGCTGAAAGCTGATCGTGCTTGAACTGATGTGACTTGCTAGCTGGTGGTTGAAAGGGGGCAAAGAGAGTATCAAAACTTGCCTTTAAAGACGGAGCACCAGTTCTGTAAGGACATGGCAGCGTCGAATGTGCCAAGCCTTGACTGCTACTGGGTTGGATCTTGGGTTTTCCACAATCTTAACAACTTTTTGCAGGGAGGTTAACAGCAACCAAGAAACAGACGGCCGGTTTTTGCATAGACCCCTGGGGAGACCTGAAGTGCCCTGCGTACTGTTGAGGAGGCGGAGGATATGGAGGATGCCGGTACGGAGGTGAGCTCAGGCGAGGTGGCCCCAGTTCTTCATGGCCCATCCCCCGGGGGGCACTGGAAAAAAGAATGGTGGCCCTCGGCGCAAAGATCCGCGTAAACGGGTTTCACTTTTGGTTTTTTTGTGGCCCATGATCCCCTCACAGCACCTAGAATACTCACCCAGATCTCGCTCACTGGTGGGAATTCGAAGACTCCCCCCTTTTGAGGTTGGATACTCAAGCCCGCCTCACATAGCACGCCTGTGTGCGAGCCCACTCCTCCATTCTGGCTTCTGACTTCCCAGGCATCCAACTCCCTCTGATCCCCGGTGCATACAAATGATTCTTAGTTGGTTTGACATGTTTATTCACTTGGAGTTGGTAGGGACGGGCATGGGCCCCAGATGCTTCCCTTGATTGATCTTGGGGAGCCTTTCCCATTTCTCCCGTGGCCAAACGAATTCTTCCATGGACCCCCCAGGATTGGGTGGAATTCCGACAAGCCCTACTCAAAGGAAGCAATTGCCTGCTGCTGGCCTGTCTGTTCTCGAAACTCAGAACCAGTTTAACGCCCCTTCATGCCCCGGACCGCAACCCCCCCGGACAAATTTCCCGGTACTAAAGAGGCTAAAGAGCCTCAGAAATCTCAGGTAGGTTTGGGGGCCTCTAGTCCTTCAATGCATCTAAGACGTGCAGTGCAAGCTGAGGGAGGCTACATGCTCAGAGGCGCTTATACCTGCCCGTCTCGCCGAGGGCACGGGCATACATTCGAAACCATGACCATGACCGACATGAGGTGTTGAGCCTGGGAAAAGAAGAACAACATGAATACATATATATATATATATATATTATGTAACTGCCCAAAGGCAACACATTGAAAATAACATGAGGCTAATCCACATGGTTCTAGCTTCCGGCGCGGACAGTGGAAACCCGCTTAAATGGTCCGGGAGTGAAGTGGTGACTTTTGCAACCCCAGTTCAACCTGTCAGGGAAACGACATTACCCCCCCAGGCTCATAGGAAAACGGATCGGCTTGCCTCACCCACCCCCAAGCTTCTGGACTTTTGTTTTTGACGCTTTCTTGGGCAAACGAGGAACCGGTTTGATGTTTTCGTTGGCCAATCCGCTACAAGCTTACCTGGAAGTAAACGAGCTCACCCATGATGAAGGTCTCTCACTTGGGCTTGGGGATTCAATTTCCAATTTTGCGGGCATGGTGGTGGAGGTATGGGCGCTTACCACCAGAAAAGGCTTGCAGCGCCGCCCCTCATATCTCCACGCCTCCAGAAGCCATGCCTGAAAATGCCCTTGGCACTCTGGAACTGTCACGCACCAAAATTCCAGAACCCCTTCCAAATGTCCAACTACCTTTCGCGAGCCGCGAAAGCCCCCTGAGATCACGGCCATGGCCCAACTGCGCACTTGACCTCTGCCCCGGATGCGGAGAGCTCGGAGTCCGGCTCGGAGTCCGGCTCGGAGGCCGGCCCCAAGGGCAATGCCTCAGGCGTAGAAAGCTGACCATGGACCCCGGGGTTCGATCCACCATTAAAATGAAGGGGGGTTCATATGACCACCATTGCTTGCCTAAGGAGCTTCGTCCAAATTGGGTCCTTGCCATTCTTTTAATGGGGGTTGAACCTGAGGGGTTGGCCTTTTGGTTGTCTCATATCAGGCCATGCTTAGTCAAAGTCCCAAAAGGTTAACCTTTGAGAGGTCCATCTTGTCTGGATCTCTTGGCCGTATGAACCAGGCTTGGGGAGCCCTGCACCAGCTTTTCGGAAGACTTGAAGCAAGTGTCCTTCGCGCGGGGTCAACCATTTGAGGGGGACAGAATGGGTAGCCTGGCTTTGCTGTTTTCATTCTTCCCGGGTTTGAAGGGCTCCTTTTTGCATCCCACGGGTGACCTTTACAGGAACCATCTATTTTGTTTTGTTGTTTCGGTGGTTTCCTTGATGGGGCTCTGTGGTACAGAGGCAATCCCCCCTAAATGGACAACATATAGGCATTTCCACATGAGTTGGAGGCGGTAGGGAAAAATGTCCATTTCCACACCAATCAAGTCAATTGCCGTCCACGGAGGCAGAAACATGGCTCGATAGTCGCTTGGTTTCGAGGCTTTGCGTTGAGTTCCATTGCCGGCCAAAGACTGCCCCACAATACCATAGCGTGCTTCGCTATGGACAGTGAGGTGTTGCGCAGCTAAACCACTGAAAGGTGCTATGCAGAAAGGCAGGGCACTTTACATTCAATAGTAGCTGTTGGTTTGAGTGCACGTATAGTTGGATTGAGAACCATTGCACGGTTGACTTGAGAATCGAGCGCACACGCTGGTGAAGTATGTTTACTTCGGCTCCGGAAGATTGCAGCTGGGGTGCTGCTTCATGTATTCGGTACGTGGAGGGTCTGCCTAGCTGCTTTGTTGCATTCCATTTTTTACACCTCCATTGTGCGTCCGTTTTGTAGTTGCTTCCCCCAACGTGACTCTCTCTGCGCCTGGTGCAGCAGGACGAGCCTGTCGATGAACTCGAGGACCCGCCTGTCGAAAGCTGTTGGAGTTTTGCATTTGGTGCGGGAGTGAGATACGTGGCTAGCATCCCCAGTACCACCCCCCGCCCACCAGCTAACCCAGTGCACTTCTTGTAAGTATGGAACATTTTTTAGCCCTAATCTCTTTGCACGCGCTTGGCTCTAAAGCAACATTTGGCGGAGCTGGAAGTGATTCTCCAATGCAGCTGCTTGCTGTTGAGATGTGTCAACGGCTTGCTTCCCCTGCGCAACAATTCGTCCCTGTTCAGTCACGGCAATCCAGGAGGGGCGCATCTCAGCATGTTTTGTCGTGAGCCCATAAACTCGCATCGATCCCCACGTGACCAGCGCCTGGATTGGCAGATTGGCAACGGCCATCCTTGGCACATGCTTGAAGCAGTGTCGCGTCGTACTTGTGCTTGAATGCTCGCTGTCCGGGATCCATTTCTGACTATAGCAAGTTTATAGCTAGCTTACCTTCGGGTAACAAGATGAAGGTCCCTGGCTTGGGGATTCCCTGTTTCCACTTGATCCACGGGCAAACTCGGTCGAAACTCCAAGAATCAGGCTTAGTCTTACTTGGCATCAGCGGATGATGGCTGTACATGGTCCAAACTAGACTAAGCTTAGGGTCTGGGGTATGATCCAAGGTGCAGGTTCTTTTCGTGTCTCTTTACTCTATCTCCTTGGGTACCCTCTAGAGGCACGTGCAGAGTTCCCCCCCCCCCCCCCGTGAAGCAACTCAATACCCATCAATGGTTTAGGATCTGAATCTTTTGGGGAAGGACCCCCATTTGTTGAAAGTGCGGGGGGCCCTCTTGCCTGCGCCCAGGGTCAAGCAGGTAGGAGATTGAACCAGAGGCTCAGGGGGCGCACTGAAGGGCACTTTTGGCTTCTTCTGGGCGGTTTCAACATCGTCTCGTCCAGTTTCAACTTGACACTGAGCTTCCTTTAGGTTTCTTGGGGACACAATAATTTGCGCGCTGCAAATTGGATCATGGACATGGACCTCCAATGGAACTTGGACCTGTATTGGGCCCTGCCTATTTCGCGCAAAGGGTCCGTAGCTCGCTGCTGGGACTGCTTCCATGCGTGCGGGGTGAGCCAAAACTGCCGGATGCGCAGGATGTGAGCCCAGAGCTTCAGCGAAACTTGGCCGATCCCAATTGCTTGCGCGGGGAAAGCCCATTTTGAGATGTTCAAAACGCTTGTCAGAAGGCCCTAAGTTGGCGGCATTCCTGGGATCACTTTTGACTTTATGTGAGATTTTGAGGTTCACACCAGTGACAAACAAGATCAGTGCATTAGTGGTTGGAGGGCAAAAGCTGAGGCAGATTTGGGGAGAGCTAGTTGGGTGTAGTTGATCCTGCGAACAAAGGTTCCATGTGCTCGGGGGTCGGACCAGTGTTGTAGAGGGGAGTGGACGGATGGGCCAGGCTCCATGCTGGCCTCAGGTGCGCCTAGCCGATCCCAAACGAATTTCCTTGGGCACAGCGGAAAATTCGGGTAGAAAGTCAATGCGGGTTGCGGGAGGGGGGGTCCGGGGTGCCCTTGGCATGCCTAAGGATCGAAGTCCCAAGCCTCCGACATCCCCAGTGTGCCGACAGATGATCAGGACATGGAGTTTTCGCTGCCTGGCATAAGGTCGGCGTGTTTTTGAACATGATGTGTTTTTTTGTTTCTCCCCCCTTTTGTGACCTTGAAACGAGAAGCATTTTGTAAGTTTGGCCTTGGAGACGTTTCCATCGCATTACTTCTTACAATGCCTCAGGTGGATGCTCGGTGGCCGAGGTCTAAGTGCTTGTAGTCGTTTGTTTATTTGAAATTTGATTGGGCAAACATCCAGGGTCAAGCGAGTGCAGCCCCATCACGAAGGTCCAAGGTCCCTACTTGGAAACTTGGGGATTTGTTTTTTCCATCTTTGGAATCTCCGTGGTCTGCTCGGATTGTTTATATATGTGTGTGTGTGTGTTTATTTGTGCCTGTGCAGAGTAGTCAGAATTACTTTGTGAAAAGTGGCCTGTGGCCACCACATTGTCATGCAAGCAAACCATTTGGTGCTGTGAATGCAGCAGAGCTGGATCTGTCTTTCTGGGTGGTTCAAATTACATCCTATAAGATTTGGGAAAATAGTATCCCCGTGTTGAACAACCCTATGTCGATTGGGACATGCTCATTCAAGGCTGCTGGCCGAACCTGCGCAAGATGATCTGTGTAAATCTGTTCCCGCAACGATGAAGGGCCAGACCACACCGTTTCATGGTGTTTGTTGTTTGTTGTAAATGTGTTCAAAATGGGCCACGAACTGCTTAAGCCAATATGTTCAGAACGTTCGGAGCTTGGTTTACGTCCTGGTGCTGGCGAATCGTTGTGTGCTGCTTTAGCCTTGGCTTGAAGCATTTCAAGCGCTGGCCTGTTGGGACTGGGGCTGGGTTAGTGTCCGGCCACAGCCCAACGCTTTAACGCGTTGTTTGTCCAAAGGGTTTACCGGCTTTCCGGTGCATGAGACCCATTTGAAGTGGTTGGTGGCAACCCAAAACGTATCCGTTCCTCTGGCAACTAACGCGGTTGATGCGTGCACGATGCACTGTTGGCGCATGGCTGACACAGTGCTGAACGCAGCAGCCAGGATGCAGCTCGACGATTCTTCTCAAACTTCACTGCGCGTTTCCCTCTTCCGGCCGGGCTGTAATTACCCAGTGCGGTTTTCATGGGATCTTCCCCCCCCTCACAGAACAAGAACCCTCCAACCCTTCCGGACCAAATCCTGCTGGGGTCAGGCTGGCCAAGGCCAACGGGAAGGCGCGCTGCGCTGCTCGGGGCTCGGGGGCGTGAGGAGGGGCGTGAGGAGGGCTTTTTCAGTGTGCGCGTTAGGTGTGCTGTGGCTACCCTTCTTGGTTGCTATTGGGCTGGATCTTTAGACTTTGACTTTTTTTTGGAATTCTGGGTTTTTTGTCCATGGAACCCAGCAAAAGGCACAAGTTAAACTTTGTCAACCGCAACCAAGCCTGCTTGGGGCTGTTTTGAAGGGAAACCACATGGAAATCAACAGGTCTTTTTTGAAGGGGCTTGCCGATTCAGACAAACCAGGCACAACGGGCTATTCATTTTTGAATCCCAGGTGTTCCTCCGAAGGGGACGTATGTTAGAACTTTGGAACCTCGCAGGACGGAGTTCCCTGTCACATTCTTTTGTGGATAAATAGATGATCGGGTGATAATCCCCTCTCCATAGCTTCCCTGCTCCCCCTCACCCCCCTTTTTCCGCCGAAGCCTTCCCAGCCCTGGTTCCCCCCTAAGGCCTATTAAAGCCTAATCTGTGGAGGAACACCAAGCGGCGAGTCCTAGGATTCGATTGGGAGAACAGAGGCTCGAGCTGCAAAAGGTTTGAAGCCCAGTGACCTGAGATGACCTGAGACTCTCCATCTGTTTGGACTGGGAGTCAAAGTCAGCTGGGGTTGTTTCCCCTTCAACCACTTAGGGGCAGACTTTGACCAAATGAGGCCAGTGGGAGAACAGGTGAACAGCATCTTACAAGTTTTGCAAGGAGCTCACCGCCCCGGCAAAACAAACCCACACAAATCTTCGCCGGGATCTCTTGATGGGGTGGGGTGGGGTGGGGTTGGTGACCCAGAGTTTGTGATCTATTGGGCGTAGTAGGGGTCCTATTGTATTCCCTCCTGTTTGTGAGTTTCCCTTTTTCCGGGTAATGTTGAAAGGTGTGCTTGTTCATTTTGAGGCTGTTGCGAGGGCTGGGAAGCAGAATCTGGGTACCCCTTGGGTGGAACCGCATTGCCCAAGAATGGCAGCGACTGGGCTAGTTTCATTTTCCCTTGGCAGCTGCAAGCAGGGTTCCTTCCATTTGCTTATGATCTGTTTTCCATTGTTGGTTTTAAGGGGGACCTATCACTACTGGACATATTGTTTGATTCCAGGGGGCGTAAGCAAATGAAAGGATCCGTTTGTTGACTACTCCAAGGTAGCTTGGGGGTCGTGGACACATGGCAGGTGTGGAGCCTTCCGAGCTGCACTGGGTCACATTTTCGCGTTTGGGCGGGCGTCACCTTGCGGTTGCTATGTTCGGGGAGTTTCCCTTGTCCCTTGTGACCCTGAGTTTCTGGACTTGAGTCTTATTCGGGGGAAAAAAGCCGTGGCGAACAGAATGGTTGGATGGGATGGATGGGGGTCAATCCACCCAAACTTTGCCGAAGCCCTCTGATCGTGAGCGAGGCGGGGGGCGGGAGGGTGTCGCGGACTGTCCCGGATTTCCTCTCGCCAGGTGCCTGAAGGCATGATCCAGAAGATGTTGGAGCTTGTGCAGGCGGGAAATGAGAAGGGTGGGACTTTTGGGCGCTAAATCGGCCATACCTTGGCGGCTCCCAGCCATCCGGTTCCTTAGGTTTAGTGGGGAGCTCCATTTAACCCACTAGACGTTGAACTTTTAGCACGCGATCTGAGGAGAGCCAATATACATGTTGTTTTCCCAAAAGGAACAAACCCAACGAATGGGTCATGGTGCTTAGTTTATTTATTTTTCCAGAGGCCCTGTTTAACATCCATCTTAACAGGACTCCTTGCATGTTGATTGCCTTTCCCTTTGGTGGGCTGATGTTGAAAGGGGATCGAAGTAACCCTGTTTAAAGTTGCATTTTCCGTGAAGCAAACAGGATACCACCAAAGAAGCAATGGTGGGATCCCCAGAAAAGGAAGGCTCCAACACAAGTACCTTATATGGCCTGATTAGGTCCTAGAAGTGCCAGTTTGATCTTCTTTGCCTTTCTTGGGATTGGATAGGCTTCTGAACATGTTTCTCCGAACTATTTGGACACTTTTCGGTTGGTTTTCTTATTACCCTTTCGATTTCTCCAGGGTGGTTGTTGTTGTTTAGGGGCAATCATGCCTTGCCCATTCGCCGGGCCTTTCTTGTTTTCCCTGCCTGTAGGGTTCTATTGTTCTGTCTAGCTATGTATATGGGTATGCGTCCACCCCTCGAACGGTGGGTTTCCCGTTCATATCCCTTTAAAAGCACCCACACAAAAATGCCCTTGAAATCACACACCGATACGTGTTCTTTGCGTCCGTGTATATGAACATATACATGCAGATATAGATGTATAAATATTTATGTAAACAACAGTTATATTGATTTATGCCGGAGCCTGCAAGGGCGTTGGCAGTTGACACGACAGTCAGGACACTCCGAACAAGGATGCATGCTGGCCTCAAAAGGTGCAAAATCTGGTGTAGATCACTGGCACACCGATCCCTGTGCACCCCTTTTTCCCTTTCTGTTTGGTGGGCTCTGCCAAAAGAGACGTCAACCTCGAACTGGGTTTCCTTTCTCCTCTAGGGACTAGGGTCGCGGACGGCCATTCGGTGAGTAAACACGGCCTGCTGCCTTTGCCATGCCAAACATGCCGCTTTGCTTTCAAAGCCTCCCCTTATGCAACATGGCCATAAAGAGTTTTCCTTTGATTCGGGGCGTCGAATTGAATCGGGGCGTCGTTGCGAGGCAGTAACAGGGGTTTATTTCAAAGGCATTTCACAGGTGTAAGGACTGGGTCAAACTTCCAAAAACATGGACTGTTGGAGGGGGTAGTTTCCTCACCCCAAGCCACACGCGGCCACCTTCACGTACCCGTTGTAAACCCGAGGTCTACCCATTTTAAACCTTAAGGGTACCTGAGTCTGTTGCGGTTACTCCGCCCGACGCCCGCTGCGCTACGGGGGCATCCAGCGCGGTCCGGCCAGGGCTCGGCTTTTGCTTTCCGCACGAGTCTCTCCATCGGAAGAGTTTTAACGTTTGGCCCATTGAAGGGCTTACCTTCAGAAAAAAACGCTCAGAAGGGAAACTCGCGTTGGCAACTTACGCAGCTTATGTGTTTAAAATATACGCTTCTAAGCCTCACGTTTTGGCAGAACATGAGCTACCAGTAAAAAGGTTCGTACTAGGGCTACGCGTTGGAGTTGACTTGGGTGAAAGACACGAGAAACGAAGGTGGCCATGCTAGTAAGAAACATAAGTACAAGTAAAAGGCGAGAGAATGATAACCCGGTCCAAACGGATCTTTGCACATCTTCAATACTGTGTAAAGGACCTTGGAAAGGTCCTGAGGCTTATCACGAACGGGCATGATTTTAGATAAGTGACTGACCCACCGAGATTCTCCAGAAACGCAGTGGCCAAGCATGTGTAAGCTAAATTGCCCACACCCATTTCTGATAGACTTAGGGTTGAGTACGGGGCGAACTTGTTACACGTCGAAATTTGTGACGGTTCGCCGCGATATGTTTTCTGATGAACCTCGATGAGGTTCATCGGGAAATCTGGAACGGAAATGACTTGGGATCAACTGTCCAGGACACACCCGGAGGGGTCAGGGATTGCCGCATGCGTTTCAGATGAGGCTCACTGAGGCTCATCTCAAAAGCGTTGCTGTGGAGAAGTCAGAAATTGTGAGGGACAACTGTCGCGGCGGACCGTTAGAAGTATAACAGGTCCGCCCCGTTTTCAACCCTAAGTCTGTATATCAGAGATGGGAATGTGTCAAAACAGGAAAGCCCCCTAAGCGGGTGTGTCCTGGACAGCTGATCCCAAGTCATTTCCGTTCCAGATTTCCCGATGAACCTCATCGAGGTTCATCAGAAAAACGTATCGCGGCGAACCGTCACAAATTTCGACGTGTAACAAGTTCGCCCCGTACTCAACCCTAAGTCTATCAGAAATGGGTGTGGGCAATTTAGCTTACACATGCTTGGCCACTGCGTTTCTGGAGAATCTCGGTGGGTCAGTCACTTATCTAAAATCATGCCCGTTCGTGATAAGCCTCAGGACCTTTCCAAGGTCCTTTACACAGTATTGAAGATGTGCAAAGATCCGTTTGGACCGGGTTATCATTCTCTCGCCTTTTACTTGTACTTATGTTTCTTACTAGCATGGCCACCTTCGTTTCTCGTGTCTTTCACCCAAGTCAACTCCAACGCGTAGCCCTAGTACGAACCTTTTTACTGGTAGCTCATGTTCTGCCAAAACGTGAGGCTTAGAAGCGTATATTTTAAACACATAAGCTGCGTAAGTTGCCAACGCGAGTTTCCCTTCTGAGCGTTTTTTTCTGAAGGTAAGCCCTTCAATGGGCCAAACGTTAAAACTCTTCCGATGGAGAGACTCGTGCGGAAAGCAAAAGCCGAGCCCTGGCCGGACCGCGCTGGATGCCCCCGTAGCGCAGCGGGCGTCGGGCGGAGTACCCGCAACAGACTCAGGTACCTTTAAGGTTTAAAATGGGTACTCCCAGGGTTTACAACGGGTACGTGAAGGTGGCCGCGTGTGGCTTGGGGTGAGCAAACTACCCCCTCCAACAGTCCATGTTTTTGGAAGTTTGACCCAGTCCTTACACCTGTGAAATGCCTTTGAAATAAACCCCTGTTACTGCCTCGCAACGACGCCCCGATTCAATTCGACGCCCCGAATCAAAGGAAAAATCTTTCCATGGATTTGAAGAGGTAGCCCCGAAAAGTGGCTGTCCCAACCTGAACGATTTGCACCAAAGGGTCCGTCAGTTGAAACGTCCGATATGGAAGTGAGTCTTATGAACTGGGCTCCATGTTCGGAGGCGAGCCGCAAAGCTCCGCAAGCCGAGGATGCGACTTGCCGGCATGCGGGGCGCTGGCGTTGCTAGTTTGGGTGTGTCTGTGTTTTAGGGTTCTCTTTTTGGGGTTGGTTGAAGTGGAGACCACATTTTTTTCCTCTTGGAGAGCTGAGGGAAGCCCACTGGAGAAGAAGGTTGGTCCGAAACAAATCCGGTCAGCTTCCATGTGGGAAAGCGTGTCTGAGTTGGTGAGTTTTTTTTGGGGGAAAAGGTGATGTACCTAGGTCAGTAGAGTGCGCGGTAAAGTAAAGTGTTCACTTTTTTGCCAGGGTCACTGGGCAACTGGCAAGCCGCAAGGGTCTGGCCGGCCTAGGCTTCGCCATGGCACGCAAAAGCATAGCGCCATACCGCAGTTCTGTAATTACTCCCGTGCCTTGCGTTCACTGAGAACACCTCGACCGACGCTGGCAAGCTAAGAAGTCAACAGACTGAGGGATCGAGTCATGGGCTGATTCCTCAGGGCTCCCTAGATTTCCCTTCTTTTGGTGGTTTCAACAATATAAACGTCACCTTTTTGACCACGTTGAAAAATCGGACAGCTGCGCATGATGCGCCGTTCCAAGCCTCGTGCCATGCCGGAACATTCCCAACAGGCCATCCAAGTGATATGCTCAAAAGGATCCTCCAATGGTTTAAGAGGAAACTCCAATCCCAAATGCAATTTCGAGAGCCCCCAAAACGCCACCACTTCAATGGACCCGGACGGCTGAATCAATCAAGGTGAATGGACTGTCCCCTCCAAAACCGACATGGATTCAATCAAACGGCTTCCTGACAGTCAAGCCTTCTAGAGCCCGAACAGGTCGCAACCCGCAGCGCCTCTCACATGCGCTGCCGACACGAAAACGGCCCGTGTGTATTTTCAAAAGTGTACTTCTTCTTTTCCTTTTTTTTTTTGGGGGGGGGGTTGGCTACCAAAAGGAAACCGCCCACGTTCTTTGTGGCTATTTGTTTTGAAAAGGGAAACACTGGAGGGACCGTTACTTGGTGGCTCACAGGCATCCTCGCTTAGTTTTTGTTTTGTTTTTTAAATATATTTTTAGTTGGTTTCGTGGTTGGGGTTTCGAATTTCACCCACCAACAGTTAGTCACTGGGAGGGGACCTGAAAACGGACAGCCATTTCACCCACTAAAAGTCAGTCACTTCCTTGCATTTGCTTAAGGATATTTATTTCCACTTTTTTAAAGGGCACCTATCGCTACTGGGAATATTTTCTCATTTGTTCCAGGGGGCTTAAGCAAATGGAGGCTTCTAGGCTTAAGTCGGAGCCGAAAAAAATGGACAGCCCAGGAGTTCCAAGCGCATGGCTTGAGACCAACTAGGTCCCCCAGTAATTCGTTCCAACTTTTACCGCTTCTTTTTTGGGTGTTTGGGTTCCTGGTAAGTGGAAACATGGACCAACACCTGCGGTTTGCCCTTGCTTAATTTTGAGCCACACCCAAATAGACGTACCCCTCCTGTTTAATTTTGAGCCACACCCAAATAGACGTCCTGAAAAACGTGGGTACCCCTCTTCTAACCTCGCAAAACCGGAAGACCGAGCCAAAAGCCAAAAGCCGGCGGCGCCGAGGCCCGGAGGTCGGGGGCCTCGCTGGTGGCCGCCAGCGCGGCGGCGACCCTCGCGAACTTCGCCCAGGCGAGTCCGCGAAAAGCGAACGTGGGAGGTGACGCCAAAAGGGGCCCAAAAAGGGGGTGATGCAGCGGAAATGGGGGCACTGGGTGTTCCATTTGTTTTCTGCGGTTTTTGGCAGGTTGTTGTGGTTTTGTCGTTTTTTTGTTGTTGTTTTTTGGGGGGAAGTTTTTGTCCAGAGTCTCTGAGCTTGGCACCCAGTAGCCTTGATACTGGACTTGGCATTTTGCTTGCAGGGCCCTTCTTCCAATTTATACCAAGTCGGGATCAAATCCCAGAATGCGTTGACTGCACCCTTGGTGGCAGTTTAAGCACCCTTGATTGATGCTAGCGGCTTAAGACGAAGAACTCCTTTCCGAACACGAGATTACCCTTTTTGCTGCCAGGTGGCTCCGTGCTTTCAGGCGATCTCGGGGTCGCAAAGTTGAAACTTCTCTCGCCAGTCACCTCAGGGAGTTGGCCTTGGGGCCCCCGAAAGCCAGGGTCCCATCATGTCCCTTTTCGGAGAACTGAGGCGTCGGCTTTTGGCTTGCATCCTGAGAATCCCAAGGTGTATCTTTTTTTTGGGGGGGGGTTGAAGCCCAGGACTAAGTCAGATGAGAAAGTGCTACAAGTTTCAAGTTGTTCCAAGTTGGATTCGGATAAGTTTGCTCGCAGGACACCGACATCGAGCGGTTCATCGGCTCCCTGGGTGGACTTGCGCCTTGGCGCGAGACGCCGCTCGCCGGGCCAGGCTGCACGAGGCCGAGGCTTTCGCTTCGAAACTTCCTTTGGCCTTGAGCTTTTGAAAGTGGAAGGTGTAGCCCGAATCTGGGAGTGAAACCAGGCAGAAACCAGGCAAAAATAGGCAGAAACCAGGCAGACACCGAATCTGGGAGTGAGGCAGACATGCAGAATTCTGCCCTTCAGGCAAGGTAGTGGAAGCCAGAATTCGGCCAGTGCTTTTGGTAGTGAAGGGCCGGACAGCTCTTGTTCCAGCCCCGCAGGCCAGAAGTTTTCTCGGAGGGCAATGGGATCTCATTTTGGTGGGTGGTGAATTCACCGCCAATTTAGAACCTATTTTAGTGGTTGAATTGGGATGTTCACTGGGGGTACGGGCTTTTGACCCATGTGAAGTTGGCCAACACTAACTCACGCTTCGTATCGCTTCGCACGGAGAAAGGGTCGTCCTTTGGAAGATCCAGGAAGTGCGCTTCAGGCATCGCTGGCATTTCGCCATTCGCTCTCCCGGTTGACCAGCGCACGAACTGACGGGGGTTTTCATTGTCCAAAGGGGTGCTTGTCAAGAGGGTTTCTGGTGATAAAAACCTCAGCGAAGGGGACTTTCAGGGACCTTGATGAAGCCTTGATGGCACTTGGCATCGGCGGGTTCCTCTACCAGGTTTCTTTATTCCGTCACACCCGAGGAAATCATGCTGGACAGCATGGAGGTCGCGACCGAGGCAGCTTGCATTTGCTGCATGGAAGTGTTTTGAGAAAGGTTCCAAGCACCTTTCCCAGTGTTCGGCCTGCGCTTCCTCCCGTGTTGGGCAAATTGCAAGAGATTGTACGGGGTTTACAGGCTGTCACCGCTGGAGGTTCTTTCCCTTTCCAGCTTGATTGTCATGGTCATGCACTTTTCTTTGCTGTAATGGAGAATTTCTGCTTGTGCAGTGTTGTCGATGAGGCACCGAACTGCTGAGGTATTGCAACTGGCATGACAACTAATCGGCTGAAGCAAATAGCCAAGGTTGATCAATTACCCTCTTGCTAACAATCATTGATGTGCAGGGCGGGGGGTTCGGATGTCACCCATCCTTTGAACTGATTTAGAAGCCCGTTTGTCCACTTCCACGTTCGTTGGAAAAAGGGTACGCATCTCTCAGTTTCGATGCTTCTATGCGAGAGATCGGCAGGACTATTTTCCCAGCGGGCCACAGGCATGCGGCATTACCCTTTTGCCGCCATGGCTATGGGGGCAGGCAGGCAGGCAGAGACGGGCAGGCAGACACCCAGACACAGGAACAGAGAGACGAGACACGCAGGAACAGCGACAGAGATACAGACATGCCTTTGAATATCGATGTGCGTGCATGTATGTGAAAGTTTCATTTAAATACATGCGCAGAAAACCTACATGCATGGTTTTCGTTTGGCGTGGTACGCAGTTGAAGCCTGGGCAGGATTTCCACCTGCAAGCCACCCGCTTCTTGTGGAACATGCGCTTTACCTGCACCTAGCAGGTGGCAGTGACCGAACACCCCACTCTTCAGGGTGTTTGGCCGTTTTCTGGGTGCCTTTTGGCCAGGTTGACCTAGCCCCTCGCTAGGCCCCGCCTGTGTCCGCGAAAAGCGTTCATGCCATTTGCCTATTATGTAGAGAGCTCACCGATTCGGGGGTAAAAAGAGCTCACTATGGTGCAGATCCTTTACTTGGGGATCCCGTATTGTGAAATTTGCAAGAATGCCATGTACCAGGCAGTCTTCGTGTGTGTGTGTGTGTGTGGCTGCCATGGGCTGTGTGCCTGAGCTTGCGCATGGCGGTTCTGTGTAGACTACTTGGAAAGAGCGATTGGCTAGATGTCCTCCTGGAGCTATGCCGACTTTGTATCAAGCAAGGTAGTCTCCGTCCCCCAGTAGTGCCCTTTTACCCTGTTTTGGGGGGAGGGTTCCCCTACTAAAAATCGACTACAGAACAAAAAGGGTACCCTTATTCAAAGCTCTCTACCGGAGGACCTAGTGTAGTAAAAGATGTACCATGCCCCCACTGGCCATGAATGAATAGTTCCGGAGGTCCGGGCCAATCTCACTGCGACAGAGGGTGTTTGTTTACAATGTGGTGAGCTACTAGGTTAAGTTGTGCCCTTTTGACTACCAAAAGGAGATGGTTTCCCCGTTGCTTTCCTTGCGAAAACAAAGCCAAAGGGCCCCAGGTTTGATTGAACTGGGTTTTGGAGGGCGGCCACCATAACTGGCTCGTTGGGTGGGTTTCTTGTGGCCCTTGAAGCCCTTGTTCAATTTGTTCGTGGTGGTTGGGGAGTTGTTAGGGCTTGCCTAGCGAAAAGTGTAGCAACCTGGTGGCAAAAACGGCCCTGTCTATTTCGTGTTGGTTTCCGTCTGGAAGTATGGAACAGAAAACGTGTCCCTGGAAAACCTAGCGAGCGGACAAACCAGCTATGGGCTCTTTTTTTTTGGGGAGGGGGGGGCCTCGTGTTGGTTTGCTTGTTTGTCTTGAGCACTTAAAAGGAAGCCAAACTCCATTTTGGTCAAATTATGTTTCTACACGGTTTTCGAAATAGCCGTAAAAAAGGATACCAAAGTTGAATATACGCCCCGCGTTTTAGTGGGCAACCGAGGAACCAACACCCGTTTTACGGGGCCGATTTGAAGGCAACCCAGTTTGTGACTTGCGCAAAGCGTCAATGCCCTAAGGACCTTTTCCAAGGCCAACCAGCAACGGCGCGGAACCTGAGCGAGCTCACGATGACACGGCAATCAAAGGGCGCCCCTTGAGTGGTTTTTGTTGCACAGTTCTTTGGTGCATTGTTCTTGGATGTTTGGACTTTAACTTTTTGCCAACTAATGGGTTTTCCATTAAACCACTAAAAGTTAAGCTTTGAGCAGGGGAGCAGAAAGCAACCGAGATTCGCTGCGAATGACAAACCACGAGGGTAGACGAGTAGCAAGTGCTAGTGGGTCCTCCCATTCCAGGACCAACCGGTCTACCCTCAGCGGGGGCTTTGGCCTGCTGGAGCAGAAAGCGATGCCCTGAATGGTGGGCTCACTGTGGACTTCCACAAGCGTGATTTAGTTAAGTAGGAGGCAATATCATGAGGCGTTTGACAGCTGCCCAACACATCCTAATTGCTAAACCTATTCAAAGGTACGGATACGGGGATACCTGCCCAGGCCTGCCCAGCAAGGTTCCCAAGGCCAAGAGGGTTGCTCATTTTCGAGCTCAGTTGTCTCCGCAAATCACTTGGCCTGCGCGTGTCTTGAGCATTGCCCTCTCATGCATGAGGACGAGCATCCCATTCTCCTCCCACCTTGTCAGGGCTGCATGTGCTATGAACACCCGAAGTTGCGTCCGCAAGGCTGTGCCTCAAAATTCGGGACCCCTCCAAGTGGTAAACTGGTTTGCTGTGGGGGTATGGGGCAGGGGCAGGCTCCGTTCTCCACCTGCTTTACGAGCCAGGAAAACGGGTGGGTTCCCCTTTTCGTCCCTTGCTCTCCACGAGTCCTTGAGCTTCTGAGCGTTCGGGAAGGTTCATCGACCATGGCGGCATTGCAAAGTTGGTGGCGCCTGCCTCAGCTCTCGCAGACCTCCAGTGCCCTCGCTTTCCATCTTGTGAATCAGGTGCCAATTTAAAGCAACTATAGGACAAACACAGAAGAACCCCTCCGTTTCCCCATGATGGCAGTAACTTTCTCAGATCGGGTTGAACGATAACAAGAAGTCCAGGTCCTGGATTATGTTGCCAGGCATCCTCAAAGGATGCATCATTTCTATACCCGAGTGCATGCGAGAGAGAGAGAGAGAGAGAGAGAGAGTGCTACAATCTATCATTCCTGGAGCAGCGTTTTGTTCTCCACTGCGTATGCTTTCACAGTTTGCCGCTGGCACAGGTGAAACGAACAGCTTGTTTCTAATATGCCTGCACGTACATACGTGCTCATCGCATCTTCCAGGAATGTGAGTGTGTGTGTGTGTGTGTGTCTGCTTTTTGTTTTGCCTTGTTGAGCCTAGCTCAACTCATACTGGGTGAATTCCCCTACCTAGGAATGCCCTGAAAGGAAACCACGTGGGATGAGTCATGCAGGACATTTCCTCATTCCCTGCTGAGAACCAGCAAGTTGTTGATGCTCGATGTCAAGAAAAAGGAAAACAAAATTGGGGCCTTCGCCTTTTTTTCTGAATATGGGGTGTTCATTCTCATGGAACATAGGGAAACATGGACGATTCCCAGTGCGAACTTGAGATAGTGCGCGTTAATAACAGCCCTCCACCCTGAGCAGGCAGACCGACTACTGTAGAACATGTTCTTGGATATTTTTTGGCAAATGAGGCCGCCCCGTTTGGAGCTTGTGGGACTGTGGGACCCATGATTCTTCTCCGCTCCTTTTCGGTCCATGTTTTGCGCCGACTAGCTAGATGCTTGATTTGCTGGGTTCGCCGGCCAGGCCTTTTGAACTTCCACAGGTAGATTCGAGTCGCTCTGCCTATTGGCGCACGAAAACAGCTCGTAGATGGTCTGCCAACCTAGACCAAACCGGGATGTATCATGTTTTGTTTTTTCCAGGCGTAATTGGCGCCCAGAAGCTTCCACTTGCTTCAGAATTGAATAGGTGATACTTCCCCTGTTGGTTTTTATTTTTTTCAGGGGCGAACATGCAGATGGAAGGGAGGAAACTCCCCATTTGTTGGGTCCTTATCAGGACTCGATGAAGCGCTTCCAGCAGCCTCACCACGGTCCCCTTCAGGAGCAAGGCTGCGGCGTTCCTTGGATCGCACATTTTCACTGGCCCTGCAGGCCCTGACGTTGGATTTGGAGGTGTCAAGGGGAAAATACGTCAGCCTCCCACCCTTTTCACATGACTTTTTGTTGGGGGTTGGTTTGGACCGTGTTGCTTTCAAAGGGGCCGAGTCCCGCTCGTCAGGTTCCGGCTGTTAATTTGTGGGAGGGAAATACTTCTTTGTTTCGGCGATCCCTCTAAAGCACCAAAAAGAGTCGCGGAGCCAAGCAATGGGTGGGTTTCCCGTTAGCTCCCTATAAAACCACTTTGCAATTCTTTTCTGCCAGGGCCACTGGTTGTAATTATATAACTAGGCCGATTTCCTGCCAAAGGCATCCACACGTTTCAGCAGCCCCGGTTTACCCTGTGAAGTGGACGGTATGCCTTGAGCCCTGTTCCAACCCCCCCGCCGGCAAGCCCAACATTGACGTCTCCATGTTTGGAGGCTAAGAGCTTCTTCTCCAGTCTGGGGCGCTTTAAAACGGACCTGAAGAGGGACACCCCCCTCCCCCCCCGCCTTTTTGCGCCATTCTGTCGGAAACACCGGGCAACAGCCACAGATCACTGGTTTCACTTCGATCCACGGGGCACGGGCGGAGCCGAAGTGAGGTGATCCGAAACTTGGCCTGCGGCCACTCCGGGCGGCACAAGCGCGCGCTGCTGAAGTCGGGGACCATCCGGGCCCTTTGCAAGGCGAGATGCGGCTTTCCAGGTCCTTTGGGCAGTTGTCGGGGCGCAGATCCAGCATCGCCAGACACGCCGCATTTAACATGCCCTTACAACTTACAACATGTGGTGGCAAATCTGTTGTTTTGCACTCGAGGGCGCCGCAGGCACTGCCAACATGCGTCCCCCCAGAGATAACCAGATAACCCCCGGGCTGGCCAATGCCCCAACTTCCGCGTCCGTCTTTGTGAAGGATGTGGCTTCCCCAAACTGCGAGAGGAGTGGCCTCCCTCGACTCCAGGCTTTGTGCTAGTTTCATAGTTGCGGCTGGCCGGCTCTGGGCATTTGCAGCTTTCCCTGGGCATTTGCAGCTTTCCGGCTGCCGCGAGCCACTGGGGGCGGCAAGCAAAAAGGGCATGTACATTTGCTTAAGCTCAAGCCCAATTTGACACTGAGTCTCATGCCCGTAAACTTATGCCAGCTTTCGGGACGACACATCCTCTCACAATGAAATCCAGAGAGTGCTTTGGGAACCCGTCCGGTTGCTTAGGGAACCACTGTTCGCCCATTTGAGATCCCAAAGAGGTCTCGCTCGCCTCGAGTGTCTCGCTAGGCGCTGAAATTGTTCCACCAGGAGGCGAACGTGTGCCTTAGCAGTGAAACAGTTGACTGTTTCACATTGGTTCAATGTGGATGTCTGCCAAAATGCAATGGCAGATTTGCCTTTGTTCGCTATCCACACCCATGCAATAAAAACACACATAGGCCCCTGATTTGGTCCAGGTTCAAAATTTGTTCATGGTCATCTTCAGGGATTGCCCAAGCAAGGACTCCTTCCATCACGCCAAATTGGGATTGTTGACGGCATGTTGTTTGTTTCGAGGTGTGTGCAAGCCATGGCGGCCCTTACGGAGCTTTGCCCCTTGGCTGCACCTGTCGCTTTGATTTTGAAAAAGCTGACCGTTCCACATTTGTTGAGTTTCGCTAGAAGCATCCAAAAGGAGATGGGTTGTTTAAGTTATCCAGCACCGCCTGGCAAGGGCAGCGCGTTCTTTCCTTCACTGTGAGGCGGTACATCTGAGGATCCCTGTTGGTTTTGTTGTAGGTCAGGCATGGGCAGGGTAGATGGGGGAGAAGCAACCGAGAGGCTTGTAAGTTGCGAGTATGTGCCTGCTGGTACCTGGAGATTCCCTCACTGTTTGGTTGCCTTGTTTCATTTGAAGGAGCTATGGACTTACCCATGTTCCGTGGCGGGGCAACTTGGTTCGCACCAGGTTTGGCAAAAGCCATTGCGCTTGAGGCAATCGATGTTCAAGATTCCAGTCCTTTGACCATTCCCCTACTACAATAGACTGCAGGAAAAAGGGTACCCTTATTCGAACCTCTCTACCGGAAGACCTAGCCAAGATTCAAGCCTTGGATCAAGCCCTTGGGGCACTTGGCTCGCTTGGGCGGCTCGGGTACCAAGCGATCCCTGGGCCGCTTTGGCCTTTGGGACCCATACGACCCCAGCCCAAACCCCTTCCGGTCCCTTCATTTTCGCAAAAGGGCATTTGCCGAGCCATTAACTTGGAACCGGGTGGGGGCGAGCCGCAAGGGGGTCAAAGTTGGGTCAAAAGGTTCGCGAGCTCGATGGTTTCCAGATAATACATCTTCTCAAAGCTGAAGCTTTTCGCAAGGGACCAAAGCAACAAGGGAACCAGGTGTGGTGGGGGTTTGAGTGGAGCAACCCTGAAGAATCCCTGGTCGGAGGGGCTGAGGGAGGGAGTAAAGCACATTAAACACCATGCACACGGAGCCTGTGGTGGCCCCGTTTCCTGACAAACCTTTGTCACCTGTTGTTACTCCACCCCCCCCCCCCCCAATGTTGGACACTTAGGGTCTATTTTGCAACCTTCTTCTTTCAGGGTCTTGCTTTTTGGTTGGGTTCCAGGATGCAAAATAGACATTACAAGCCCTGCTCGCGCCCCCCGACGGTGCCGCGGGGTTTCACTTTGCGGTTTCTCGAGGTCTCGGTGCGCCGCCGGCGGCGCACCAGGCGCGGACCTTGGGCGCCCTGCGGTGGCTGCTGACGCCTGGCAGGAATTTGGGGCGTGGAGGTCACCCCCAGGCCCCCAGTCGGCGGCGCAAGCTCGCAAGCTGCGATGGAGTCTGGGGGCTCAACTGCATCTTGGTTTGTCTTTGACAAGGGGGATCAAGAGCTGGAGGGTCTCCCAGTTTTTGGACAACGCCATGTTCACCCTGAAAGATGCCTATAGGCGATGGATAGGCGATCAAGAGTATATGTATTGAGACAACCGTACCTTTTCGGCAAGTTTGGCGAGTTCAGCGAACGGGGGTACTACGAGCTCGGGCCACGTCGAAGGTTACTTGTGAGGGGATACCTGAGTTCATGCTCAATCATGTTCAACCTGCTCAGAGGATCAAATCACTCACTCCCTGGGCCGAAAACCGGCCCAACAAATAGACAGCGAGGCTCAGGTGCTTCGTTTTGAAGACCTCCTTGCAGGGATACCCATGTTGCTTTCGAGAAAAGGTTGCCTGGTTCAATGGTTTTCTTGGACGTGGAGCCCTGGGAGTTCCATCGGAACTCTAAAAATATCGACACATGTGTCTCTTTTCGGTCGCCTATTGTTTCCCCAGAGCGGAGTGAACAAACAAGCCAGCCGCCAACTACAATAACTACCACCAATGTTGGGAATCTATCGATGGTGTACCATGATAGCGGAAAACATGCTTTTGGCTGGGATGCATGTTGCAGTGGTGACGTAGTGAGAATCAGCCACTTTGCTATCGCAGAGAGGGCCGGATGCTCCATAGTCAATAGGGAGTGACCTTTCCAGTTCCTCTCAGGCTTCGTAGTGGCGCCCTCTGCCCCCTCTAGGACATTGCGACCGTGTCAGCACAGGCGAAAGTAGATGGCACAGTTCTCGAAGATGTGGGTAAACAAAGAGGGTGGCCACACCAAAACTTTGTTCGTTCCATGCGCCAGAAACCCGGGTCAACAAAGCGCAAAGCTGAGTGAGCTTGCGTAATGTTTGATCGTCCTGTTATTTCGTTTGTCCAGTTGGAGTGGCGCCAGAATGTTTCACTTTCGATCTTGGACTCGTTGCTGTTGAGTCCGAAGACATCCTTTGCGGTTTGTATATGGTTGCACCAGGTAGGGTTGCTTAGCTCACTTCGTCCGCAACCTTAGTGGGACGCGGTTACTCGCCTTTTTCCAGCAATGGGAGTAATTTTCAGGGGCTCAAACGAAACCCATCCTCTTGACAAGGCCCGTCCATGTCCATCTTTCGAAGAGGGTCGCAATTGTGCAACCAACTTTGGCGCACTCGATTTCTCAGGGTTTACTACACACTTTGCCTGAAAGTGTCCATGGCATTGGATCGGCGTGCTCTCGGTTGTTGTAGTTTTTGTGCGCCAACCCATGTTGCACTAAACCACGCATCACTCTCGGTGTGTTTTCCTGTGCGTACACCAAAACGGGGGGGGAGAAAAACAAAAACACCTGCAGCATAAAATCCTCACCAAACAATTTGGTCCTACCCCACCGGGGACGGGGGGGAAGGGGACGGGCTGGCAGCTGAGGGCCAGCCTGAAGCTTGCGGGCACCAACGCGCAGGTCACAGAGCAAGTGCTGGAGGCAGGCGCAAGGGGTCAGGCAAGGTTCAGTTGGTTCAGCCTCAGTTTGGGGCTGGGTTGGGTTTGGTGTAGATTTGGTTTTGGTTTAGAGTTGGTTAGGGTTGGTTAGGGTTGGTTTAGAGTTGGTTAGGGCTGGTTTAGGGTTGGTTTAGAATTAACTTAAGGTTAATTTAAGTTTAATTTAGGGTTGGTTTGGGTTTGGCTTAGGGTTGGTGTGGGTTTGGTTTAGATTTGGTTTCGGGTTGGTTTAGACTTGATTTGGGGTTGGCCTGGCATTCGTAAGCTTCGTTATGAAACAAGCTCATGTTGGTACGGCCAGGACCTGGTTTCAGCAGCTTTTGCCCAGCCCTGGAACCCACTGAAAGCGTGAAGGGCTGCTAGTCTGAACTTGATGTAAATCAGGATTCTTTAAGAGACTTGCGGACCTTTCTCACGGTATGCTCATGTATCCCCCCCAAACCTGTCCAAGGCCGACCTTCTGACCTGGTGGTTTTCCGATTTTGGTCCAGCTGCGGTCATGGTCCAGCCAGAATAAATATTGAAACCTCGATCAGGCTATGTGTATAAGCTGATGCCGTGGCTATCAACCCAAATGGCAGGGAACCGGTTTCACAGATGCCTCAAAGATTAGCTGACATGTGTGTGTGCCATACTCTTTCGGTACGGGCGGTCCGTGGTTTCATATGAGACCTTTTCAAAGTTTACAATTCGCAGCATAGAATACTTGCCTAGATGAAGGTAAATAGATAGACAGCTAGATAGGTAGGTAGATGATAGAAAGACAGACGGACAGACAGAGGGATACGGAGAAAGAGATAGATAGATAGATAGATAGATAGATAGATAGCTAGATAGACAGACAGATAGATAGATAGATAGGTAGATGTATTAGGGGTCCTGTTAAGAGAACCATGACCCCGTGCCCCACGGTGACTGTGGGCAACGTGAGGTGCAGTGGGGACTGAGTTGATGAGCTCATTGCCCCAATCCGGCCCCACTTTTTTGTGTACTCGGTGTGATCTGACGGAGCCAATGGTAAGCTTTTGGACGTAGAGGAAGACACCGCTGCCTCAATGAATGAGCTCACCGTTACTCTCTGGTCCATAATCTTGGAACCCCACAGGAAACCAACGAAGTCACTCATGGAACCTCGGAACCTCCTGTGCAAAATGAAGCTGGCACTGACTAACCGCAAAACAATGGTTTCCCTTGGTTTCAAAGTGGTGCGAACGGATTTCCTCCACAGGGAGGGTATCTTGGAGTCTGGTTTTCCCCGTGGCATTTTTGGATCCACTTGGATCCACCTCCCGCGGAATCCAAGGCCCGGAAGGCGAAGCAACGGAAAAAGTCATCGTGCCTTTCGTGAGGCGCTGGAGGCGATTCTTCTCATCCCACAGGCGGTTTCGCGAGTGTGTGTGTTTGGTTGGTTTGTTGGTTGGTTCGTTGGTTTGTTGCCTTGTTTGTATTTTGTTTGTATTTTGTGTGTGTGTGTGTGTTTGTTTGTCTGTTTGTTTGTTTGCTTGTTTGGTTGTTTGTTTGATTGTTTGTTTGTTTGGTTGTTTGTTTGATTGTTTGTTTGTATTTTTAGTTTGTTAGTTAGTTTGTTTGTTTGTTTGTTTGTTTGTTTGCTTGTTTGGTTGTTTGTTTGATTGTTTGTTTGTTTGGTTGTTTGTTTGATTGTTTGTTTGTATTTTTAGTTTGTTTGTTTGTTTGTTTGTTTGCTTGTTTGCTTGTTTGCTTGTTTGCTTGTTTGCTTGTTTGCTTGTTTGCTTGTTTGCTTGCTTGCTTGCTTGTTTGCTTGTTTTGTTGTTTTGTTGTTTTTTTGGTTTTGAGGGTGCTATTTTTCGGCTTTTTAAGGAAAACCATTGGGAACCGCACACATTTGTCGGACATCCCACCAGTCGGCAACTGTTGAATTCCGTGGGGCAACTTGGCTTCTACGCACTCCCTTTGTCAATAGTGCATTCTTTGAATGGGTATTTGGACCAACGTTGCTTAGCTGCACCTGCTACAAATAAAGCATTACACACGGCTCCCCTGACAGCGTTGGGGTCTGAACGTGAAGCACGGAGGCCAACTTTGTTTCCCCATTCAGCAGGGGTTGCAAGGTATTTCCATGTTTGATGGTTTTACACTTCACCTTCTTGCCCCATTGAATGTGAGTTTCCCTTGGTAGGGTTGATGTAAATAAGGCGAAGACGAGGGTCCGATGTAGCAACTTGGCCCTTCGGGATCTCTGATCGGCATGCCTGCACGGGGCCGCATGTTCAAGAAAGGTCAACCGTCCTGTTGGAACAAATCGACCGGGGAATTGCCAGAATACCAGTGCCCAACCCTTCACAGGGAGCCTTTCCAGGAAACAAAGGAACTCTCCAAGAAGTTGCTGCAGTTGTCTTTCCGCTAGGCAGTCCCCGTTAGAGGAACATTGCCTTCCAAGAACCCCCCCCCCAACCGGTTCCATGTTACATGTTCGTGGCTGGGATGATGGTAGGGTAGCCAAACAAAGACCCACCCGCCCTCCTCCCCCACAGCGCGCAGGCCCCTTTCCCTATTTTGAACGCGCAGCCGAAAGGCAAGCTCTTGGCTGTCCAAGGCCCCCTTCGACTTGCAGAGGCCCCCTTCAACTTTCCGGCTCTGCGTGGCTTGCTTTCAATTCCTCAACGCTCCCTTGAAGCGACATATGGGAGGCTCAGTAAATACACACAATATTTTCCCTGATCACGAAATTCTTTGGTTTGCTGATGCTTCAGATTAAACCAGCTGATTAAAGACTCCAACCGGGCTCCCAACATGGCCCTTACTTACAGTACATCTCCCCCAAGCAAACTCACTTCAAACTGGCAACCAAAATATGCTTAAGCTATGTTAACACCAAAACGGGGAATGCGGTGGATGCTTTCTGCCCGTACACCACGCCGAAACACAAAATGGTAGCAATAAGTCCCAGCTACAGTGTGTTTTTACGGATGGTTGTTCCCTCCTACTTACGATGAAACACCGGCAAATGCGATGGAACACTGTGAATCCCTTGTCCCCTCCTGCTTACGAAGAAACACCGGCAAATACAGATGAAACACCGGCAAATATGGGCGAAGCACGGTCTATTCCTTGTTCCCTGTGGTTAAATCCGTTTTCCCTCTGACTTCTGGTTGAACGGCGCGAGACGCGGATAGGCCTTGGCGGCCTTTGGTCAGCACGGTGGCCATCTGGAGGCAGAAACGCGGATGTTCAGTCTCCGCGTTTTTTTGGTTCGGCCCCGGTGTTTGAGGGCCCATAGGGCACCCTAGTTATCCATGTGCACGGGCCTTTGGCCCCCAGCAAGATAACGAAGAAAGAGTACTGGCAATGAAGGACGTGGCTGGCAATCGTGCCTTTGAAAAACTGGGTTAATGTCAATGGCTCTCCTTTCAACAGGGATTTTCTTCGTCCTTACAATATTTGTCCAAGTAAGATTATTGTATGATTTTGCTGCGCGCGCTCTTTGTTGGATTTGCCAATTCAATTTTAAAAGGCGGAGTTAGCAGCACATATTATTTTAATGGCCTGCGGCCTGCCCCCAATAGGGCTCAGAATTTCGGCCCGGGCCGAGAGAATCGGCCGGCAGCTCGTCACTAGCGCGAGTCGCGCGCTGTCTGTGGTCTAAGCAGATTGGAGACAGAGACGGACACACGCTGACACACGCACACATGATAGAAACATACCGCAGACATAGAAAGACACACCAACCGAGACCGAGAGGCACGCGTCCACAGACCCGTTCGCGGACACGAAGACAGACGCAGATACGTAGACAGACACAGACAGACACAAAGAGACGCAGACAGTCACGCGGGGGGGGGGGGGGGGGGGGGGGGCATACCCCTTCGATAAGGGGTGGGGGGGGTTGTTGTTCGGGGCTGGGGGGTTGAACTGGGGACTTGTTGTTTGGGGGGGGGGTCGAACAACAAGTAAAAGAAAAGAAGGGAGGGGGGACTTGGGGGCACTTGTTGTTTGGGGGGGGGGGGGTCGAACAACAGGGGGGGGGGGGGCTTGCACTGATTATTGCCTCGCCCGCGCTGTGCCTCCTCTCCACTCTGCGCTCGGACTGCTCTCGGACTGCGCTCGGACTGCGCTCGGACTGCGCTCGGACTGCGCTCCAGGGGGGGGGGAAGGGGGGAGGGAGGGGGGGGGGTTGGAGAGGCAGACATGCAGACATCCAGAGATCCAGAGATCCAGATCCAGCGTCCAGAGATCCAGCCGACGCATTTTCCTACCGCAAGGGACGCACACACAAATACACACACACACATATATATATATATATATATGTCACATAATTGTATTTACATTATCCCTATAGAAAACATATCAACAAAAGCAACACAGAACACACCGTCCCCCATGCCAAAAGCATGGTCCCATTCTCGACCAGGCATGGGGTCGGCGGATTTTGTTAAGTTTGAGCTTACAACAAAAAGCAGCATGAAAGCACACATATTTGTTAGTTGTGGCGGATTCATAAATTGGGTGTTCTCGGTTTATTTTCACATGACCTTCTTGCAGCCAAGTATGCATCTTCCACATTTGGATTCAATGCCCTTCTTGTATACTCTTGGCAGCTAGGAGTAGAGAAGACGCCAGTGCTGCGAGTGCTCTGAGTGAGATGCACAATCACCAGGACAGTGGATACCCCGATGCAACTATCAGGGCACATCTTGTATTTCCTCAATACCACTTGCTACTCCTTATGAGATTCGCTGTGAGTGCAGATCAATCTACAGTGTAATATGGACCAGAATCTAAATCCAGATCCTAACGCGGTGTTGGTGATGTCTGTAGCACACTTTGTTAAGGCAAAGCGAAAACCCCTTGAGGTCCTGAAGGTGCTGGACCGCTTCTCCTCAGCCCAGCACTCGGGGTCAGGGCGGGCCAGGGGTAAGGCAGGGGCTGATGTTTTTCTTGGTATTGATTCCGTTTCCCTTCTTTTCAACCATTGTTCTTTTCAAAAACCGGATCCGTTTTCCCAGGGTGTTTGGTGGTTTTGTAGAAAGAAGGATCCCTGGGTTCAGAATGGAAATGGATGCTACTCTTAGAGTTTTGCTGGGCGTGAGCTCAGGACACCACGGTGTTGCTGGCCTTCAGGACGCTGGCGGCAGCCTTGAGCCACACCAAGCTCAAGGAGCCGACTGTGGTCCAGAGAGTTGGCATTGGCATGACCCCAAACTGAACCGTCCCTTGGAGGGTATCCGTTTTCAGGTCGGTAAAACCTGGGGCCTTTGAGGGTCACGTATTTGTGGATGTTTGCACTGAAGAAATCAAAAGGAACAGCCGCCGCTTCCCCCCCCCCCCCATTCGGTCGGACCCATACTCAACTTGGATCCCCTTGTGCTTCCATTTGTCGCAGTAGGGGAATGAAGGGAGCCAGTTTTCAAGAACCAAAAGGTTACCCACTCTGGGGGCAACGGTGATCCACTGGGTCGGTGGCCTGAACCAATACCGAAAGGCTGAGTTTGTTGTTCCAATTGTTTGTTTGTTTTGAGGAGGGAAGTCTCTTTTGGTTGGCTTTGGAAAAAGGAAAGCAAAAAGAAACCTGAAATGGGGGGAACCAGTCATTTTTTCCAACTCTGAGCCACGTGTTTGACCTCCAGAATGCCTTGTGGTTCACTGGCGCGGGGTAGCAGAAACAGGGCCCCGCCACGAAAAACTTCATGGAGCCCGATTGACTCAGAACCCAAACCTCTAGCCTTGGTTTTCCACCTTTGTCCGGTTTTTTGGCCGCGGTGTGCATCGTAGCTCCAAATGTTCTGTTGGAAGTCCCTTTTAAATGCGCATTGTTTTTGGAGTTTCCTCGCCCATTTTGAGACACACGAGTTGGCGCGCAGTGAGAAAATTCCGAGAACCCACCAGGGGTAATGATTTGTCTTTGGTTCAAGTGGGCGTGCCTGTTTTGCTTGGAACTTCCCTTGTTCAACTTATTTTTATCACATGTTCAGGCATCGCCATTGTAGCTCCAAATGGCGTTGGAACTCAATAAGCTGTGTTCTGGTTGCTGCTGTTCTGGTTGTTGCTTCCGAGGCATTCCCCGGAGCGAAGGATCATTGTACTCCAGCGATGAAACTATGTTTTCAATTATGGATGTGTTTGGCCGAGCTGGTGACCTTGAGTAATTGAAACTAAACTATACTAAACTATCAATTTCATAAACGCTGACTGCTTTTGGCTGCTGAAGGTAACATAGAAGCGCATGCTCACAAACAACATGGGCTGTCAGCAAGTGGTTTCAGGGCTTTTTGTGTGGTCCACACTGCTGCCCTTTGTTGCAACCAAAGCAGTCTTTTAACCTTTTAGAAAACGACTGCCTTACGAACTCGCAAACAAATTGACTCTTTGCAGGCGAGGGGCAATGACCTACACCGGAGCCTTCTCCAAAACCATAGATATATTTTTTAGGGTAGACCACGTTGCATCACGTATCTGAACATCTTGTCGGTGTGCCCCAGAGTTGGGCCGAGTAGTGCCCCAGAGTTGGGCCTTGTTGGCAAGGAGATGGTGGACGGGGATTCCACGGAGGACCTCGCATATTTGATCACCTCCAGTGCCGCAGTCCAGAAGCGTTGTGCGAAGGCAACCCACAATGCTCCAGTTGAAAAGCGAAAGTGGCCCTCTTTTTGTTGCAACGTTTGCAAGCATCATAAGTACATGTTTTGTCCCTGACTGAAATGTCATGAGCAAATGTCACAATTTCCTAGGTGGAGGGTTCAACGTTGACCAAGCTTTGTTGTTATTTTCCAATCTGGGGTATGGACAAGATAACAATATGGCTTCGAATCCCAGCACTCCACTTGCTTCCGAGCTGTAATTTACCATTCTCCTTCAAGGATCCTTTTCTCTTTCCGAACCCGAGAATCGAGCCATGGTGAGCCAGTTAGGCAGCCAGTTGTGGAGAGAGGCCGTTTTTGTGTTCCCTGGAACCTTTTCAGGGCTAATTGTTGCGAGCATTTTTCTGGGTTCACCATCAATTGGCATTGTGCCACAGGGGGTCGCATTTTCCATAGTGCCGTGGTGGCCCCAGAGACCGGCAGACCGACGGACCAACGGACCGATCGACGATTACAGCCAAAGGTGCTGAGCGGGAGACGCAGCTTGAGTACTGGAAGCAGATGGGCAAGAGCCCCGGCAGTTTGCACCTTGGCAGGAGGCTGTTTTCGACGGCGCGTCCGGTCTGAGCCGTCGATTTGTTTAATGGGTGGTTTGTTTTGAGGTTTCTGAACTGCATATGTCTTGGATGGTTTTGTTCTTGAAGCTGCCGTTGAGAGGGAAAAAGAGGTGTTGCCCCTTGAAACCATCACTAAGAGTCGATAATCTTAAGGATGTCACTTTCATGGAACCTGGTGATCCTCTCGAACGCACAGACCTCCAGTGGGCTCTTTGTTCTTCATTGGTTTTATCTCGGGAGGGTATTCCAACAAAATCCACCAACCCTCAAGGGAACGTCGCCCAGACTGCATTTGTTCAAATTAATGTTGGCATAGGTGTTTTGTGTTTATTATTTGAGAGGGGTGTCCTACAAATTTATCCATCTCACAAATTGGTGTCCTGATTTCACGATGTTTGAATGGCCTCCTGAAGGGCATTCCTGTGTTGAGCCAACAAACAGGGTAACAAAGGAGAGAGGTTTGGGGCGAACGAGCTTTAACCCGCCCGCATGACATCCAGGGTTCCTCAATTAATTACATGCCCCCAGGAGAAATAATAACAAACGAAACCCCACTCAAGGAAGGACCCATTGATATTCTCAACCCAAATGCGATGTGTTTAGGGAAACACACTGCCCTAAAAAGGCGCCGGCAAAATTGAAGCCGGCGAACCCTGCGCGCCTTTGCCATTCTCCCCTTGTTGGCTGTGGGAGTTACACCTGCACAAGCGCTTGAAGCATGATTTGTGGCCTGCTTGGTGGTAGCGCTGCATCGTGTGCACGTTCCCGATGGTCAATTCATTTGCGCTCCTTGCGGGTAAAGCGGCGCCGCTCAGCCCAAAGCAATGCGGAAGTGAGGGGGATCCGCAAATGGGTACCTCAGCTTTGCTGGTTTGTGCCTGTGTGTTGCGGCTGGCGTATTTTCTTGTGGGTGGTGTTTGGCATCAGTTCGGCCAAGTTAGCCTTCCGTTTGCTCAAGCCGCCTGGAAAAACAAGATATTCCCAATAGTGCTAGATTCCATACAAGTCAAAATAAAGAATATTCTTAAGCAACTGGAAGTTGCGCGTGCTCCTGCCCCCAAGTGGGGGTCATGCTTCACTTGTAGGGAGCCCTGTGTGTGTGCCTACCTTCCCCCCCCTTTTGTCCCCCGCTGTAGCTCTACGGGTTGGGCGATTTGGGACGGCCTCGGGGGAATTTCCATAGGTCCAAGAAGCCCAGAGATCCAGCAGGGCCTCTCAAAGGATACGTGTTGGCCATATTGAAACCACAGCTTGACCAGCAGTTTCAACAGGTTTCTGCCTGCATCAGGTGACTTCTGAAGCATGGAGTAATTCAGTGAGCTGTGATTACAGAGGTTGCTTCTAGGATAATTAAGTTTCGGCCTGGTTTAGGATGGGTTTTGGGTAGGTTTCTTCTTTGTCGAATTGGTTATTCTAATTGTTCCAGATTCATGTATTTCCAATTATGCTAAAAAATCCTAGAAGGGACCCTGCACCAAAAAAACCGCCTTCGGAGTTTCTCCATTGGCGTTGCTCGCTCGGTTTGAGGATCCGTCAGGACTTGCTGGACGCTGGCCTCATTCAGAAAGTCATTGACGTGCCTTTTCGCGAACATCGGCGTCTGTGTCCTCAAAGCGTGTCCTGAAGTGTGCCCCGAAAACAGTTTTGTTTTTCAATGGTAATGTTGACGCCGGACAAACCCCACTTTATGAATAGGGGCCCCATATTAATAAACCGGGGTTTATTGATTCGGGGTCAACGTTAAACCAAGAGGACGCCCAGCATTCTTGGGGTCCCCTTTAAGACAGCCCCTCAAAGGGGCTTGGCGTTTCGTCCGGTCGGAAAGGCTTCCAAGTGCGTTTGGAGTGATCAATAGGCCCTAGACACAGACCAGGGGATACCCTGAACCAATGAAAGGGCACGGAACCCGGGACCCTTGCTCAGGTCCTTTACAAAGTCTTGGCCACGTTGGATTATGCTTTAACTTGTTGGGATCAGGCTTGTAACCGACAACAACCTGCTTAAACCTATCTTTAACTCCTTTAGCTCCCCACGAAGCAACAAAGTCAGACATGTTCCCAGCATGTCTTTCCAAGAAGAGGTCATTCTTGCAAGTCCCAACCTGGATCTGAGACTGGTAAGCCATGAAGCTGCCATTTGAGCCATTGAGGCTTAGTCATGGCCTTTACTTGCGCAAAGGCAGGACGTTGTGAAATCTACTTTCACTCTCGTGTAGAGTGGCCAGGGGTTCTACATTTGGCACTCAGTGTTGTTCAGGCCCAATCCCGTGAGGAGTGTCTATGGGGTCTTGTCATACAAATGCAGCCGTGCACACATAAACATGCAAATGTACATCTAATGTACATAGCTATTTCGGTTGTATGCGGCACATTTAAGTTTACATATACATGAATGTTCACGCATAGACTTATCAGCAAATGGGTTATGTGGATTGGCCCATTTCCGAAGAGACGTGCAGGGCCCTACGCTCCAGCCATGGTTAAATGACGACTGACCACTGGAATAGGTACCTCTTATGCTTACCTTGCATTTGTGCAGTTCTTGATTTGTAGATATATGTTAAAATGGATATAGTATATAAGATAGAATAAACGTCATAATCCTAGTAAGTATCCATCATCTACTCATTCAGCACCTTATGCGTAGTTGTCATCCACAGTTTGAAGTTAACCTGTCCATCACCTTGTCTTATGCAAGCAGTGGACGGGCGATATACGGTTGCACATGCTTTTTCCGTATCTATCCCTGCTATATGTGTGACATGTGTATGCACATGTACGCATTGGAAGTGGATGTATGTATATATGATGCATTTTATTTGCTACCTTGCCTTTTTTAACGCATCTTATTTGCTATGTGTTGCTTACTTATTCATGTGTTTTGTTATTCTTTTATACGCGCTCGCTCGTTCGATCGTTCGCTCATTGGTTGGATTTTTGTTTATTCATTTCAGGGGTAGCTGCCTTAGGCGTTGCAGCAGTTCGACCAGTACACCATTGCCATTGAGGCCGTTTCGCGCTCCATTGGGAGCACTGGCTGCCAGTTTTTGAGCCAAACCCTTGGGTAGGTGGTTCTATTCCCTGGCTGAAATAGGGGTAGTATGGCCTATATCTATAAGGTGGGTAGCAAATTAGGTAATTGTACGGCCTATAGGTGGGTACCACTCCATGTTAGCAGAACCTAAGTGCCCTTTCTGGCTTGATGGAGTTGGGATCCTGTTGAAATCAAACAGCTACCTGTGTCGAAGTGTGACAACTGCCACATTTGATTGGGGCCGACCCGGAATGGCCCGAACATGTGTCAAAGCGTATCATTTCAGTGTCAGTGGGGGTGCGAATCAAGGTCACTTACCCCTTGAAAAGGTCACTTTTGCTAGTGTCAGTTCCCCCTGCGTGAGTGTCATTCGCGTGTCGCTGCGGCTCGATTTGCCTGGACTGCTGGGTGGAGGGATCTGCCGGGGAGGGCAACCCTGAGGGTCTAAGTGCCCTTTAAATGGCTTAAGTGACCTTGTTCATTTAGAACCCAAAGTCAATAAGTTTCGAGCACTGCTCCTGTGGAACTCTGGAACTCCAGCGCGTTTCTGGCGTGGAACATGGACCGGAAACGGTCGAACCACCCCTCTCCGGTCTGAATGGGTGCTTTGGAAGTATGATTGTCCCTTTCCGCCGTTTTGGGCTGGCTTGAAGGGGAAACAGTGGCTTTCCCTTCAGATAAGGAGGCACCATTTCCCGAAAGATACAGGCACATTTTAGGGGAGCAGGGCGACCATTTTGAGAATCAGTGTTAGTAGCCTTCTTGATGTAAAGCGTGTGCTGACAGGTAGTAGGTAGTTGAATGCTTTCTTTCAGGAGACAGTTCAATCCCTGCCAAAAGCAAACGAGGTAAATGCTGGGATGTTTGCTTTCGGGCACCCTGCGATAGCAGCCGCACCCCTGTCCTCGTGATGCTTGTTTTTAATGTGTTGACAGTGGAAAAACAGTTTTAGTAAGAAGTTCCTTGTTTTAGGAATCGCCCAGACACTTGTCCAGGTGAGAAGGCTTGGCACTTCTTGCAAGGATCCACTTGACCCAAGCCAGACTCCATGTCAAGGTGGTAAAGGGTTGCAGAAGGAACAACATTCTGGGGCTTACCAGCGGAAAACATGATTCAGTATTTTCACCACCCCACAGGTGACGCCCTTGATGTTAGCACATTGGCTGTGATTTCCAGCTCCTCGCGCATTCCTTTGTGGGGGGGATCAGAACGTAGGCCCCCTTGGTGACATTTTAAGAATCCAAAAGGAGATGACACCTGTTGCTTCTCCCCTTCAATCTCCTTCTACTCTTCCGGCGTTATTTTCGGGTCACCCTCGAAGTAGTCTCCCTTTGGTTTCAACATGTGACCTGACTTCTGACTGAGGCTTTGGAATGTTTGTTTCGCCTCTAAAAGGGTTACTTTGATGTTCCACCTTTCAAGTGACAAGCTTCTCATAGGAATCAACCACTGTCTCACTTCTCTAAGCAAAACAACCTTTTGACCTTTTGGTCGCCCAGTTTCGACCTATTTTTAGTGAAGATTTGGCAAGCTCAATCTTTTTCTACTCGGTCTGTTTGACCCATTTTGGTGAAGATTGCAAACGCTTATGTTTTGTTCTACTCGTTACTCGGTCTGTTTTAGGGAACGCCTAAGGGTGGAAGTACATACCCCTTGTTCATACCCTTGGCTTCCCTGGTTTTCAAGGCACTTTATAAGGGGTATTGGGTTCATTTTGCGCAAGCGTTATGTAAAAGGGGGAAGGTACAAGCACGCCTGGAGCAAAGTGAGCTTTGGCACAGAAAGGATTGGCAGCCCGCGTGAGTCAGGCTGGCGCAGGGGTTCTTATGAACCTCACCTTGGAGGTACAGGAAGTGGACCAGGACCTACGGTTGGACCAAATCCTGAAGGCACTTCCTGATGGACTTCAAACTTTTTGGGAAGACCATTTCAGTGGTAAACAACATTTTTGGACTTTTTTTGGCCAGTCCACTCATGAAGCAAGTAAACCAAGTGGGAGGCTCACTTCCCGAGTTGGACTTGAGTCACTAGGATTGGACTTTTTGTAGTGGCGCCTTTTTTGGATCCACGGAAATGAGAAGGTGGTTTGTGGTTTATCCAGTTCATCCAGTTTTTACATCCATCCCAGGCGACTTATTTTTGGTCCATCCATGGGAGGTTTGGGTCAGTTTGGCGATAGTTTCCCCTTTCAGTTTGGTTCCATCGATTTTGCCAAACGTACACGTGGGTTTCTGTTTCAACTCTACCTCCCTTCGCATGGAATCAACCATGTTTTGTCCAAGCCAAGATTCCAGACAAATCCACCAAAGAAAGGTCTCGCAATGAACATTCCAGGCACTTCTCGCCTTTGGGTGTGGAACATCCTTTACCAAAGGCAGGGATCCGTGTAATATTTCTCTCTGTTTGTTAGCTTGAAGCATGTTTGCCTTGGTAGAGGTGTCTTAAGGGGAATTTATCGAAGCCTAAAAATATCTGAGCCTTTCGGATCTTCAGAACACCAGCCATCAGTGTTGTCCCCTCACTGGAAAAAAGGCAAAGGCAGCAATACAAGTATCCGCTTTGGCTTGGGTTCAAGAACATCGACATGTGTGGGGTCTCTCCGAAGCAAGGTCCTTCCTCAAACCATCAGAAAGTCAAAGGCTGGTGCTTACACTCATGCAATTCAACCTGGAGCTCAAAGAATGAAATGATGGAAAAGACACCCAAATTTTAGCCGTCTTTTTTGGACGCAAAGTTCTGCGAATCAGGCCAAGCAGCCGACCCCCCCCCCCCGCTCCCCCCCCCTTTTGGCCCAACTCTCAACCGCTTCAAAGAAGCGCTTTCCGTCAACAGTGAACTTCATGGTGGGAAAAGTAGTCAACAAAAACCACAAGCACAAACCATGGGTTTCGAAGCAAAATGCAACGAGGTTTCGAAGCTGGCGCGGAGTTGGTTTGGCGGGCCCGCTTTTTAGAGACAGTCGATACATTTTTCATATATGCATATATACATGTATATATATATATATACAAATATGTTTTCATTTACATATATATATATATATCTAGATATAGACACGCATACATAGACATATACAATGTACATATCTGATTTTTGCCCTTGGGAGTAGTAGTTTGCGGTGAAAACCTGTGCTCCGGATCCCCCACCTCACTCCACAGGATGAGAAGCACCTGCAGCGGAAGTTGGATGTTGGCATGCCACCTGTCCTGCAATGCCCGCCTTTGGCAAGTTCCAGGTATGCGTTTTGGAGGTATGGAGGTTGTATACCACTTCTACAAGGGGTATATACACTGCCAGACCAGCTTATTGGTGCTATATAAGCATCCATACCTCCCAAACCCATATCTGAAAATGCCATTGGCTTGTTGTTTTTGGGCTCGGTTTGAACCACAATGCAAGATCCTTCCTTTGGGTAATGGGTTTGTTCCCATAGTCGTATTCCAGGCAGTATAGTATGGGTTACCCAGTGGATCCATGAAAATAGCTGGTTACCTACTATACGGGCTTGCCTGGGACGCATTGGGTTAGGAATGGCCAGCATAGGGACCGTTGTCGATTGTTTTCCGCGACAAAGAAATACCCCTCGCGCTTTTCCAACACACATCCCAAGAATGAAGACTTTTCGGAGTCGCACGGATGTTAGAGCAGTTGTTCAGAATTCCATCGTTTGTGTCCTCCATACTTATTGCGAAGATTGCTTTGGTCGCAAAAGTTGTACATCACAGCTCTTTTTGATTGACCTGTGTGGCTGCCAAGCCTTCCTCTTCTTTATTCTCGACTGCTGTCTTTGCTTTGTGGCCTGTTTAGTTATTAATAAAAGGAGTTGCAAAGAGCGATTTTTGTTGGCTGACATTTCAGCGGTCCGGCCCGACCTTTTTTAACTTTTGGTTTCACAAGTTCGTCAATGTTTGACGCTTTTCAGTTCCCCCCACGTTGGTGCAATTTAGTTGAGGGCCTACGATTTCAATTGTCTTTATTTCCATGTCCTGCGTGCAACTGAGCAGCGAGTGGAAGGCGCGACTCCATTTTAATGTGCTTTTTGGGGCACAACCCACAGAAGCGAGGTGAGTTTCCATGTCTTCTGAGGGCCTGCCATGGCTGCCTGGAGATCATTGGCCACCTCAGCGGCCAGAGGAACACCGCAGGCGTGGATGTGTCATGAAACTGCCGCCAGCGAAACGCACCTCCGGAGTTGGTCTACCTTTAGCCTTCCCAAAGAGTGTGGTTGGGGGGTTGGGCTCCATTGTGTCAGTGGTTGGCCTGTTTCAAGGGAGAACCTCGGGGAATGTTGTTGGCTTTCTCTGAACAAATCGCGAGATGTATGCCCCGGTCTCGAAGGTCCCCAAAACGCCAGCATTTAGATCAATCACTGGGAGGTGCATTGCTGTGCCTGTAAATACCCAAGAGAAAACCTGATAGGGAAGCTGCGTTGTCTCCCGGGACCTTGTCAGCTTGCCCCCAGGTGCTTGGTTGGAGGCCTAGGGGTCCCAGCTTAGCTTTCTGAGCGGCTCGAATCCCCACGACTTGAACCGGGCAAGGCTGGGCCGATTTCGGCGAATATTGATAGCGTCTCTCAAGACTACTTTTGGTCGCTGCAGCCTTTGAACGACTTACTCCCTAACAGACTCCAATTCGCTAGAGTTTGGTCGTCTTTTTCCCGGCCAGTCCACATTCCACATTTTTTTGAGTCACGGCCAAGCGGGACCATCATTCTAGGGGTTGACTCCCCATTATTTTTAACCATCGTTCTTTTCAATAACCAGACGTTTCCCCTGGGTTTCCGGAGGTTTTCTAGAAAGAAGGATCCCTGAATAAAAATAGAAATTGAAAATACAAATAATCTATAATTCATCTAATACTTAATTTCCAGGGGGCGAACCCTGGGAGCACGCCGCCGACGTACCCCTAGAATCCTTCAGCGCAACTCGCTAGCCTTGGATGTCACCCAAGGCTTCGCTTCCAACATGTTCCGCCTCCTGGCGGCGGTGTCCCTGCACGAGGAGATCGCCCTCCTGCTCCACCGGAAGCAGGCGAGCCGAAGGATGCCAGTTGTGCAGTGTACATTTTCCGTCAATAGGCCTTGGGGCCCCCTCGGGCCCCTGGTTCAAAGTTGCCAGGCTGGAGGAATTCTATTAAACCCCTCAGATTGCGCAGCGGGTCTAGGTCAGTAATGCTGCCAAGGATTTCCGTCAATAATATGAAGGACTGGCTTTTCGGGGAAGGTTTCGTTCACCTTGGTTGATCATGTTTCTCTTTTTGCTTGGCAGGTGTCCCTTTCAATGGTCACTGTCACCACCAACTGGGGGCCCGTCATGGCTGGATGCGACACTTTTAACTTTGAGCTTCACAATGTTGGTTAACCTATTTTGCCTTCCGGGTCCTTGGCAATTGGTTTGTGGACCAAAAAGCAGCCTCCCAGTGGTTGGACATGGCCACATGTTCGTTTTTAGTTTGGAAGGATCAACGGTTGCAGCGACTCATGCTGCCGCTGAAGGGGTTTTCCGGCTCAGATGGTGCAATGTTTGAGTGGCACACGTAATGGCCATGGTCACATCAATGTTGTGGCATGTGAAGAAATGTGAATTGCCGTAATGTCAAGAGTAAACCCTTCGGTGTGACAAAGTAAGGCGTCATTATACATGTTGGTGCCAGGCTGGTGCTGTAGGGGCGAGCCAGAAAATGCCCCGGCAAACAAACATCACCATCTTGGTCGCGAAGATCAGTGTTTCAGGGCTACGAGTCAAAGGCTAATTAAGTCGAGGCTTCGCCCCACCTGTTGGCAACAGTCACTCGGGGTAACATCTCAAACATGCAACCTGATTTGGGTCCTGGAAGGCCATTTCGTTCTAAAAGGGACCCTTTGGTGGGTTCCATATGGCTGTGGGTCAAAGCCAATGGTACCATTTTGGGGTAGAGATGCACCACCCATTTTAGTCTAATGTTGGCACTTGATTAATAAGGGGCCCCCCCCCCGAACAATGGAGGCGCCAAAATAAAGGGGGCTCACTTTTGGGACGTCCAAACAATGGAGGATTTTGGGGCCCAATTCTACTTTAGTATTGCAGCCACTTCCTTTTTGCAATTCTACTTTAGGATTGCAGCCACTTCCTTTTTGCAGTTCTACTTTAGTATTGCAACCACTTCTTCCTGAGCAGACTTTTTGGAATACTACTTTAGTATTGTAACCACTTCTTCCTGAGCAGACTTTTTGGAATGCTACTTAAGTATTGCAACCACTTCCCTTTCAGTTCTTTCTGTAGCCATTCAAAGGGGTGTGCCACCAATAGAAAGGGGATGCTTTTAAGAAAGTGGGCCACCAATTGAAAGGGGATGCTTTTAAGCAAGTGGGCCACCAATTGAAAGGGGAATACTTTTGAGTAAAGCAACTTATAGTGTATTTTCTGGGAGGGGGGGCTGGAGGCTTGCAATTAATGTGGTCCCTAAAAGAATGCCATTATTGTGGTTCAGTGGGGTTTGTGAGGGGTACCCTTGTCCTGATTTTTTTTTTTTTGCATTTGTTTAAAACACGGTTTAATAAAGAGTTTGCAGTTTCATGGCTTTCAGATGTTTCAGCTGGCTTTGGGGTCTGTGGTTGAGCAACCAATTGAAAGGGGAATGCTTTTAAGCAAATGGGCCACCAATTGAGAGGCGATGCTTCTAAGCAAGTGGGCCACCAATTGAAAGGGGAATGCTTTTGAGTAAAGCAACTGATAGCTTATTTTCTGAGAGGGGGGGCTGGGGGCTTGCAACTAATGTGGTCCCCTAAAAGAATGACATCATTGTGGTTCAGTGGGGTCTGTGAGGGGTACCCTTGTCCTGATTGTTTTTTTGCATTGTTTTTATTTTTTAAACACGGTTTAATAAAGAGTTTGCAGTTTCAGGTCTGGGGATGGTTTTCAAATTTCAGAGGTTTCAGCTGGCTTTGGGTTCTGTGGTTGATCAACCAATTGATTTTGGATCAACATGGATTTTGGGTGATTGTTTGGGGGGGGGATGGATTTTTACCTTAAAATTGTTTTGTGAAGCTTTTTTTTGGAATTTTCACCGGGCAAAAATACTTTCAATTATTCTGGTCCCCCTAAACAATGGGTGCGAACCAGAATAAGGAAAACAACTTGCAATTATTGACGCCCGGTTGATTAATCAAGTGCCAACACTATTTTAGTGGGGATTGGGATGTTCACTGGGGGTACGGGATTTTGACCCATGGCCATATTAGTGGACAAGAGGGAAACGTCCTCATGAATCACCGGAATGACTCACATGCGGGCTGGGCGCAGGGTAGGGGGGCAAAACCCATTGCCCGAGGCAACAAGATAATTGCCGAACGATCCCTGAGGCCTTTCGCTTGTCAAGCGTGGTTGCACAAGAAAGCTTTCTGCAAACTCAGTTCAGTAAACTGCCGCAGAACCGTAACCCAACAACGTGCAACACAACTCAAAGAAGCATTTTGTTACCTCAGGTGGGGTTAGGCTTCTGCTTTGCGGTGAACGTCAGGTTGATCAGGATGAATGGGCCAGCTCCTGGTTTCCTTTCAGGAACTAAAATGCCAGAAGCTGGGAGCCCTGGAAATTTGTCAAAAGCCGGGAGTGCCAGGCCGCCAAGACTGCCCTGGAGTACTTGCAGGCGCGATATGGGGCGAGGGGTAGGTCGTTTTGGGCCCCTGATCCTGGCTAAGATGATCTACACTATCTACATGATCCTTAGTTGCCGTGACGTGTGGCCATACCTGGCAGTGATTAATTGACTTGACCAGCAGTGCTTGCCACCTTTTGAGCCGCGTAGCCACTTGGGTCGCTCAGCGCAGGACTTTGGGAATTGCACTCCTTCAGGTCATCTTCTATTTGTGTAAGAATATGTTGTGTTTTTCGCCCCTGTTGGGTTTAAAAAAGGAAGCGATCACTACTGTAAACATGTTTTAGTTATTTTTTCCATTGGGCTTAATAAGCAAATGGAAGTCATGTTCAGCTTGGCTGCTGGGATTTGGATCTTGAACCTTTGGATCATGTTAGTCACTCTCAGGGACTCGGTCCTACCTACGCTCGCACCGGCCCGAAAAGGCGAAGTATGCTTTCCTGACTCGAAGGCGTCACTGTGCTCGCCAGAGAGGATTTGGTACCTGACATTTGTTGTTCTATGTTCAGGTGTGGCTTCGATGGGCGTATTTTGTTTTCTTATTTTTGGGACCGCAGACAGGTGACCCGTGGATGCCATTATCGGCCTTTGTTTCCCATAGCCCTGCCTTTCAATCGACCCAAGAGAACCAGGCACTAGGTCCCCCCGTTGTTTGGGGGAGGGTTCCCCTACTAAAATAGACTACAGAAAAACAATCGGGTACTCTTATTCTAACCTCTCTACTGGAGGACCTGGACCAGGTGGGCCAACTGAATTAAACAGATTTAAACATCCTCCGTTCCGCCTCAAAGGTGGGGCTCGATTCCGGGCCTGAGGCCTATGAGGAAGAGCCGGTGGTGCAAGCAGCAGGCACGCTGCGTCCCACGCGGCCCAGGGCGTCGCACATGGCAAAATGGTTTGTTCGGTGCCCTTCTTTGGGCTGAGGCCAAGTCGCAGTGGAACTTTGTGGTTTGTGCACTCGGGTTTTCTTCAGCCTCCAGCTCTACGACTTGAGTCTTTTTTGCACGCGAATGTCAGACTTGATGCGATCAACATCACCCGCCCGGCATGGTTTGTGTAATGATTAACCCACCTAACATGAGTCCACCATGTCGAACTGCGGATGGGGAGCGTTTCTGTTTGGGGAGCGAAGCGCAGGCACGCAGGCACGCTGACGCACAGATGCACAGACATACCAGAGACAGCCACAGCAGACATGCACAGAAACAAGCACATAAACTTCCAGTGGCTTAAGAGCATGTTTCATTTTCCCCTTTTGGTTTTGAAAGGAATCTATCACTGGACATGTTTTCTCACATTTTCCTGGGGACGTACTGGCAAATGCAGGTAAGAGAGACCCCGCCCCTGCGCACACCTCAGAGAAGTCGCCAGCGCCATTTCCAGGCTGCGCCTTTTTGGGGAACTTGGCCAATGCCAAGCTGCACATCCGCGAAGGCATTGTGGAGGCCCGTGAGTTTCTTGTTGGCTTGGGTTTTTTTTCGGTGTCGGGTGGGGGGGCGGGAGAGGGGCGGGGGGTCTATTTAAGCAGTTCTTGCTTTGTTTGTGTTTTTGCGGAGGGGGGTGTCAGTAGTTACTCTTCAACAAGGAGAGCAATAAAAGAAAGCTGGAGGTGCACAGGTATTTTGTCTTGCAGAAAAGGGTTGTGCACTTCCATGTCATTCAAGGGGAGGGTGATAACATGTTTACCCCCCCTATGATCATGACTTCATGTGGCTTTAAAGCACCCCGTAACTACTCCTTTTCTAGTCATGTACGGCTGTAAGGCCTTCGAACCTACTTGATAGCCAACCGGAAGCACTGTCAAATGACAGAATTGTAGGTGCATGTTCCCCCACTTCCTGTAGAGCAGGGAAGTGTTCATCAAAGAGTACCAGCTTCAGGGGCTGAAACTCCGATTGAACAGGAGGTGTTTTTCTGAGACAGAGGCTTCACATGACCAGAAGACACGGGTCACCGATGCAGGCAGTTGGGGTAGCTGACACTCGCAGCCGCGCATCCTTCTGCTGTTGGTGAGGGCTGATATCAAGATCGAGCCAAGGCGTACCTTTCTTCCCAAACATGGAAGTGGACAAGGCGCCATTTCAAGAGGATGGTCATCTTCCACAAACATTCTGTCAGCTTTCATTTTTGGAAGGAGGGTGCCTGTTGAGAAAGATAGCCGCAGCCCCTTCCAGCGCCTTTGAAAGCCCCTGGCTTTTCCCGGGCTCTCAGATGGCAAACTCAAACCCTGGTCCCAACCAGAGGCACTGCAGCAATGACGAGGTTGCCCTAGGCTTTCAGGCTACCCCAATCTGGCTAGAAGGCCAGCTGTATGTCGCAGTACATCAATCAGGCATGTTCATGGGCGTTTTGGCGCGTGTGGCCGGAGGAGCTTCTGGTCTGACGTGTCCCTTTGAGTTCTGCTTACTTGGTGGATTTGATGATCCTTGCTTTGCGGTGTTCTTGGTTGTCGGTTGTGGTTTCTTGGCTTTGGAGGGCCTGGCTGATAAGAACTCAGAGCTTGAGTATCAAATCGGGTGAGCTTCCACGCAGACTTTTGGGGGTGTCTGATCAATGTCTGAGTTGGGAGTTGTTCTTTGAGAGCTACTCCCCACATGAAACTCTTCAGGAAGCTCCTCCCATGTGTGTCAATCCATATTTGCACAGGGCTCCTTAAAAGATACACTTTGCCCATTTGAAACATGGCTTTTTCCACCCAAAAAAAAGGGAACCCGCCATTTACAAGGCAATGTTCAGGTGTACAATGTTCGGGGGTGGCTGCTTGAGGGAAGCCAAAAGGAAGCCAACCATTGTGAGCAATACCCCCTCTTGGCTTCCCTTGGAACGGTGACCTGGACGACCCCTATCAGTCCCCCAAAAAAATTGGACACCCCTATCAGTCCCACAAAAAAATGGACACCCCCTATCAGTCCCCCCCAAGAATTGGACGCCCCCTATCACTCCACCCAAAATTGGACCCCACAAATTCCTGGTTTCCTTTTGGCTTCCCAATTTTCATCGGGCCACGAGTACCTCAACAGGTGGGAGTGCTGGACTTTCTCATCGCCCTGCTCGTTCGCAAGCGAAGCGTGGCTTTGGTGGTGCAGAGCGCCTGCAAGGCCGGGCAGGAGGGACGTTGGGGGAGGGGTGGGGGTGGTGGTGGGGGGGGGGGTGGGGGTGGTGGCAGCGGGGTGGGGGTGGTGGCAGGCGAGGGATTGAAGCACCACTTGCTTCCATTTGCTCAAGCATATGTCTTATTTTCCCCTGTTGATTTTAAAGGGAACCTATCACAACTGGAAACATATCTAAGCAAATGGATGCTTGGGTCCAATTATATGGTTAGATTGCTTTGGTGCTTGTGGAGTTTCACGGGGAAATATAGTTGGAACCCTGTCCCGGCCCTTGCGAGTGGGCTTGAATCAGTCGGACGAGCTCACCGATGGGGTTCAACAAGCGATTGGCTATGATAAAGGTCCAGTAGTTGGGGATTCCACCATTTTAGCCCTTGTTGGTTAATCTATCACTAGTTCATTTGCTGCAGGGGACTTAAGCAAATTGCAACTTTTTGGATTGCAAGACCTGAGATGTGATGCACTCGTCAGATATTGTTTGAGTGTCAAGCAGTTACCAATCACTTGACTTGTAGCTGCTTGTTTCCAGAGTGGTGCAGCTATAGCATAGGTCAATGACCTGGGTGCTTGGCTGGGCCATGTGGAACCAAACGCTGCAAACAAGCCCGTATCCCAATCAAGGTGCATACGACTTGTCAGGGCTCAGGGGTCCCTGAATTCTCATTGTTGGACCTCCAAAGGTGGCAGTTTTCTGTGAACCCACCAGTATATTGCACTTGTTGAAGGGGATAGTGACCCCTGTCAATCAAGCCCCATGGGCTTAGTCCAGGTCTATCTACGAAGGGTGGCTCAAAATTCAAGAAACCCCAAGGCCAAGCTTCCATTTATTTGAAGTCCCTTCTGAAGGGAAAGAGGGGAGGAGTGGGGACCCAGTTGGGTGTGTGTCAAAGGGAGTTGGACCCAGATCCATGTTGTTTTTTCCTCTTCAAACCACACCAAGAGGCAAGGGCCAACTTCAACGTACCCTTTTCCTCATGGCTATTGGAGGTTTGAGCAGGTACACAGCGAAACCCTCCGTGCAAGCGATATCCACAAGAATTGCCCCAGTCGGAATTCATGCCAACACGTGTGATTTGTTTGAGGCTCGGTACCCTTTTTGTGTTTTAAACAGACAGCGACAGGGACACCCACCGATTTTGGGATCCCTTTATTGCCCTTCTCACTTGCCCAAAGTCGATTTTTTGTTTTTGAAGACCTTTCAGTCTCCGTGCCCCAACAAAGTCTAACCTTTGCTTGGAGGAGTCAAAATGACCACTCTGACACCAGGTGCGTGGGTCCCTTGGGCAGACTGAGTGGCCGCATACCCATGGTGAGTTGTTTTAGGGCTAGGCTAGACCCCGGAAAACATTGCGGATTTCCCTTTGGTTGCCTCTTCAAACCAAGGCTTCCTCCCCCCCCCCGGCCCCCCTGGGCCCCCATGAAACTCCTAAAGACAAGCCACCCTCTGGGTCTCTTAGGCCCTCAAGGAGCTTAGCCCCGCAGAGGCCAGGGGGTTCGGGAGGCGTTTTTGGAGCGTGTTTCAAGGATGGCCTTTAAAGCAGCTTGGGAACACCCGAGAAAAACGAAGAGACCTTAATGGGTTCTTTCCCTCGGGGTTTCGATGTCCTTTCGAACAGACCTAAGGGTACAGAATATTTTACGGAAACAAGTCTTCCAAACGGGGTCCGTTCGGGCGCTTCCATGTTAGTCTGGGGGAGGGTACCCTTTTGAGGTTTGTTCGAAAGGAAACCCCGAGGGAAGAACCCAGTCAAGGGCATCCAAGTTTCTGGACTTCGAAGGCGTAAGCTTGAATGGTGTGGATGGCATGAACGCCATGATCACCACAAAACTCATTGGGACCCCGAGTTTCTGTGCCCGCACTTTCTGGGCCTTCACCATTTCAGCGGCAAAATAACAGTTTGGACTTGTTTGATCAATTTGGTTGGGAAGGGTGGCCATAGTTCCTTTAGGCAAATGTGGCTGCGGTTCCCCCAGTCTGGAACCAAAAACATGTTTTATGACCATCCAACTCCTCAAGTCATGTTCAACCCCTCCCTCAGCCGCTGCATGGACAGTTTTGGTTTGAACCTGAGATCTTTTTAGGGCTGCAGCTACTCACACGCAGATCCAACACGGTGTTGGCTTGGTCGTGTGCAACAAGCCCCATGCAAGCCAACTGTTGCCTGCAGCTTTAATGCCCGAGCGGGCCTGGTTGGGCTGGGGCAACTCTCCACAGCCTTGGTGCTTTGTTTGTGGCACTTGGTCTTGGTTGTCTGTCTTTGGGTGGCCGGTTGGATATGCGTGGGTGTGACTGGGCTTATCTTTGTTCTTTTGTCTATTTAGCGGTCCCTTTAAACAATCATCTTGTACCAGAACAAGAAAATCACCCGTGAATTCCCTTTCTAGACAAGACTAACCAACACTCGTCTGAAACAACCTCACCTCGATCTGTCTGAAACAACCTCACCTTGATCCACTGACTTGCATTTTATAACCCGGGCCCACTGGAAGGATCTCTCTTGATTGCTGCTGGTTTCACGGGTGCCCCCTTGGGTGCTTCCGCCAGCTGAGCATTCGTTGGGCCAAGGGTAAGGTGTTGCCAATGGAAGAAACCCGGAAAGCGACCGAAGCAAGAGGCGAAGGCAAAACCGTGTCTTGAGAACGACTCATGTGATTCAATCAGCCATGAAACCGCCGCTAAGTGTGCCATGGTCGAAGTACTTTTGAAGGTACTTGCTTGGGTCCCCCAATTTCAGGCAAGGCCCATTTGGGCGTTTCCAAAAACACCCCATTCGATGCGAATCAGAGAAGTCAGACCCCCCTTTCAATTCTCAGGGAGCTCTCAATGCATTTGCACTCTACATTGACAGACCACCCGGTGTCCCTTCATAGAAACGGACATCCGCGCCAGCGCCTGCGCTTTGGCTCTGGACCGTTTTGCCGCCCAGGCGGCCCTGGGCATCCTGAAGCGGTTCCCCATCGTGGACAACGTCTTTCAGGCACGGGAGCGTCATGTGGGTATGGGTCAAAATTAAACCACCAGGAATCGGACCGCAGATGTTCGTCCCTGTTTTTATTTACCAGGGTTGATTTTGGATACCTATTTTTGACCCACACCCATGTCTCGGCCCGTGGTCGTAAAAAGGCCAGCCACGATATCCAGAGGCGCATTTTGCCGAGGGATGTTAGGACTGAACAACTTCTTGCCAACTTTTTTCGGGTTTTCCGTATTTAACCACTAAAAGTTAGTCACTTTTAGCAGTGGAGCAGAAAGCAACAGAGAATCAAAACCCGGGGAGATGAAGGGTGACAGCAAGCATAAAGCGGCGACGGCGGCGCAAGCCGCCCTTTTTAGTTATGTCTACATCGTTCTGGCAGGGTTTCCGAGCCAATCCCCTTGTTGGAACCTAAAGTGGAAGCCGATCTTTTCAAAGGACAGCACCTGCAAATCTCGCTTCCTGGGTTCCTGGACTTTCAACTTTTTGGGAAGACCGTTCTAGCTCAAAAAAGGCCATGAAACTTTTCCAGGTTCTGGACTTTAAACCTTTTGGCAAGATCATTTTAGTGGAAAGCAACAGTTTGGGCTGCTTTTGGACCAACTCAGGAAGCGAAAACATTGATCAGCTTGCGATTCGGGGAAATCCAATGACCCCACGGGCCACTCACTCCTAGGGACTTCCCCGACCACCCGAGGCTGCGGACCCGCACTTGGCGGAAGCGCACCTCGGGGAGACTAATCGGAGCGATGGTGCTTTCAACTTGAAAACCACCACTCGGTCCCCCAGTGCCCTCTTACCGTTTCTTCTTTGGGGTTTTGGGTTCCCCAACTAAAATGGACTACGGAAAAAGAGTTGGTACCAACTTATTCTAACCTCGCCAAGCTGGAGGACCTAGACCAGGGCAGCAGAAAAGACACCCATGCGGCCACGCGGGTTTCTTAGGCCCAGAGCTGTTGGGAGAGGGGAGGCATCCACCCAAAGGGCCTCAAAAAAATCAACACCCATATTATGGGTTTCATCGCCCACTGCGGAGAGGGGAGCTATCACCTGCTAACCCCTTGCCAAATGGGTCTCCGGGCCGAATTTCGGGGGCTCATAAATCCCACGGTCAAACGACCGCTTCGCTTACTCTTTTTTTTGGGGGGGCGGCATGGAAGGCCAGGAACCCGACGGAGTATGAATGGCATCAGTTTCGAACATGGCACATGGCGTTTGGAATGAAGGACTCCCTTCATCTGGAAGCACCCTGGTGCCCTCAGAATGCCCTTCCGGCAGTGGCTGTGTGTTTCTTGGGGTGATGTTTCAAAACGCAAGTAGGGAACACTGATCCAGTGTGGCAGTCCTCCAAAATGGACAGCAATCCCCTAACAAAAGGATGTCCACCAAACATGGTTGATGGACATCACTCCCCAGCCAATAAACCATCCAACTGGTTTCCTTTCAGGGGACCCCTGGGTTCATGCCCTCACTCCCTACTTATCGCACCAGCAAGATGATTCGCTTCATTCCCACGCGACAACTCGCCGACGCCCAGCGGCTCCGAGGGATGTCATGGCGGCGAGCCTGGCGCTACTTTGGAGCCTTGGTGCGTTTGTTTGTTGAGTTTGCCCTTGTTGGTGTTAAAGGACAACCATCACTGCTTTTTCCCTCCAGTGGGCGATGGAAATTTAGATGTAGGAGGGGTCCAGTTGGGTCTTCAATTTTGTTGAAGTTAGCCGCTTTTAGCTTGCCTTTGGCTCGCAAGGAAACAGATTAAAGTGAGCTCTTGGGCATGGGAGCCTTGATTGCCGCAGCCCTGCACATCCATGGGAACCTGGTTGCATCTGGTTGCGAATCCAGCGATGCGGTGATGACGCGGGTCGCATGAACATGGAAGTGCATCCCCTCGATTTCTCTAAGGCTCAACTGTGATGGCCTGCGAGTCAGAAACAGCATGTGCTGGAGAGTGCCAAATGCCAAGTATGCCAACATGCAAGTTTTGTTAGCAGTGGCAGCAGCTTCCTTTTAGCTTCATTTCAGCGTCCTACCCCTGTGAGCCATCCCTTGTATCTGGTCATTTCCTTTGCACGGATCTCCGGGGCCATTCCGGGGCCACGTCACTGATTCCCTTCTACCCACAAAGTTCAAAGCTGTGCAAAAGGGGGTCTCCAGTTTGGACACGCACAAAGCAGCGCCCAAAACTACGGAGTTTGTGATACATGGACTCGTTCACCTAGAGCCTCATGCCTAACAATGTGACACAATGGCAGCTTGGCTAATTATGGCTATTGCAATGAGGTTGACCTGCAGGATTTATTCAAGGTAAATAGGTGAATCCCTGGTTGTTGGTTGAATTTCCTTTGGCCTGTTTCTCGGAGGGTCTGACTAGAGTGCATCCAGCTGAACATTGCTCTATGGATTTGAGCATGTAAGAAAGTTGTCAAATGTTTGTCTTCTTCATGAAGACCCAAGAATTGAGCGACTTTTTGCGGCAATAGCCAAGATTTCGCCTGCTTGTTCCAACACAGGCCCATGGACTGTTCGGGACACGGCAAAATGCCAGCGCAGTCGTGAGAGACGTTGGTGAATTACGTGCTAGGTTGATTTACCCAAACGGACAATTGTTTGAATTTTCCGGACGCCTGATTTAGCTTCCAGTTTAGTGAGCTTGAGAATTGGCTTATGACATTTTAAGACCTTCCTGTAGAGGAAGGTTTGTTTCAGTTGCTGCTGGGTTATTTGTTGTGCGCTTTGGATGTGCCTTTCCGGGAATCGCTGTTTGTTGCTGTGAAATGATTGCCCTCTCTCCGCTGACTGGGCTCCTTTGTGTGCTCCTTTGCTTGCTACGTGGGTGCGTTGTTGCTTCTGTGGCATTCAGGATGCTTTCGGCCATTGACACAAACTACGCGGAGGAGCTGAACAAGAAGCAGACCACGACCCGTGTTCTGCAGGCGCAACTGCTCTGATTGGGTTCACCGCTTTGTGTTTCGTTGGGGCGTACCTGGCAAACCAAGGGCTGTAGCTGCGGGTGCGCCCCGTCACTAGCTCAGATGCAATTGCCTGGGGCCCTAGGGTGATGCGGCCCAGTTGTTAAGTGGCACCCTTGGGCGTTTTTGAATGAATGGTCTACCTCGAAAAGGGTCCCCTTTTTCTACCAGGGTCACCGAACGAGATGTGCGGATGTTGCGCATCAGGCCTCTGGGCAGCACTGCAGTTCCTCATTGGATTTTGTCTTGAAACGTGGGGTTGGGCAACTGTGTTAGCACCCATTGGCGCACCCTTCAGCAGTGCCAGTCACAAAATGCGGTCGAATGATCGCAAAGTCAGGCCATAGAACTACTTGCAAAAGAAGTGAGCCTCCAAATGGGTGTGGCTCAAAACTAAACAGGAGGGGTTAACGGGTTTCGGCCTTTGTTTCCAGGTTCCATTTTGGTACCGGTTTTTTGAGCCACAGCCAAATGGGGGAATTGCCCAGATGTGCGTCTGTTTTCTGAGCAGAAAGCCTGGGTGGAGGACCAACTCAGCTGAACTGCCGGTTGCCTCGAGGTGCTGCGCACGCATCGCGCGCATCACGAGGCGAGGTGGTGTTAACGATGTGTTGCCCGTGGGATCCACGGTGGTGGTCTCAAACCCGGCCTGGGGTTCAACATGAGGTTATGTCTAAGTCTACGGCTATTATGGTCTACCAAGGCTCACATGCTTTTGTTTGTTTTGTGTGGTTTGTCTTCGGGAAGGATCGGCAAGGGGCCCCATTCAAGTGTAATTCGCCCTCGTGGGCCCTGGCACTTGACCACCCAAGGACGTGCGCAAAGACTCCTGGATTAGGGTGAATAAGCCATTGTTCCAAGCGGGGTCAACGTATTGCAAGCCCGGCACGTGTTGTTTGCGTCGTCATGGGATTGTCTACGAGTTGAAGGCACGGGGGCCGGCAGAGTACGGCAGGAGCTAGGTGCCGAGCACAGATTTGTTTGATCGCCTGAGGGAAGCCAGGGACGGACATGGCTCATTTTGTTGACAGATGTTGACAGCCATGCCGAAGGGAACCGTTCACGACCCGTTGGCTTTTGGCTGCACTGCTTGCTTGCGGAGATGTGAGGAGCTCGTAAGGTTCCAAGTAGCCTGGACTTGTCCATCCTGGCACATTCTGCAGGAGGGTTTTCACTGGCGATTGCCCCGAAACCACTACTGCGAACGGAACGTGAGGTGCACAGGCGCATCTGTATTTGCGCATAGGATCAGGCTTGGAGGCAGCTTAGGCATAACCCCATCCGGCTGTATGAGCATGGAGACTTGGGTGAATCAGGACCTAGGTCAACTGCTTGCGAGCAGGTGTTGATATGGCCACTTAGCCCAGTGGTCATTTCCTGGCCTAGCAGGGCCTAGCACCGTAGACTTTTGTCTTTTAGGCTTTGCTCAGGAGAAGACCCATGTGAGAAGTTGGGCACATGCAAGCTGCTGCCCCGTTGCTTGTGGCCAGGGATCACGCCATATCTTGCCGAATTCCAGTAGTGCACCATTGGTGAAGTGCGGCTTTCCCTTTCTGGATGTTCAGTCACAATTGAGCCACAATCAAAACCCGGGGAGATGAAGGTTTGTAAAGGACAATCCCAACCATAAATAGCTGCGGCCGCCTTCTCAAGTCTTGAGATGGTTCTGGGTAGTTAATACCGGGTTTTGATTATGACACAAGTGGTGTTTTTTGGGCAGGCGGATTTGCGTCAGCAGCTCTATCACTGCAGGCTCCGACACGTCTCGCGGTCCGTCTCGCGGTCCCCAGGTTTGCCGTTGCTGCGGTGGCCTGCTTCGGAACCTCTTCTCCGCACCTTTAAGCCCGGCATCTTAGCCAGGAATTCGTTTGGCCAACTCACTTGTCGTCATTGCCCCAACAGGTTAATCTGTTAATTCCAGGTCCTCTGAGCAACTGAGCCAAAATAAAGCACTATCATGAGAAACTGGGGGTGTAATTCTTGCGCCCCTTGTTCCCCCCCAGAAAAAGGTGCTCAGAATCCTCCATCAGAACGCCGAAGAAACTTTCGTGCACACTCGCTCTGGGGTGGAGGAGGGGGGGGGCCTTGGATCCAGGCGAGTGTTCTTTGCCAAAAGGGAGCCAGTCGTGCCATTGAGAGTAATGTTGACCCCATCTGAATCAACCCCAGTTTATGAATAGAGGGGTGTTCGGTGTTCCCCTCCAAAAGCGATGATTCCCCACTAAATCCAAGGACACCCCCTATGAATAAACTGGGGTTGATTAGTATGGGGTCAACAATACCCCAACACTTTTTGTTTGGAAACCATTAAGCAATTTGTTCACCATTTATGGAGTCCAAATCCCCCCAATTTTGACACATGCAACTTGGTGTTAACTTGCCGGAGCCTTCCCAACAGGCGTCGATTTTGCACGAAGCTGGGAGTAACTCAAACCAATTGGGCAGAAGCGGCTTCCGGGGTGACTGCCATGGCAATAATTCATGATACAGCGATTTCAGGTTTGTGACTGGAGCCTGCCGTGTTGCAAGCCGTTCCCCGGTCAACTCGAATCTATCGGCCAAAAACGGCCGTGGAGCCCTTTGCATCAAGATGTTGCGTTCAATTTGGTGTGTTATTCTTGCACTTGTGTTTTGTGTGTTGCCTGCTTTGTTGCCGGAAGCCAGGCAGAGCACGGAAAAAAACACCGCCCGGCCCCACTTTCCAGAATTGGTGAGTGTGGATCCAAAAAAGGGCCGGTGATTTGAACATTTCCAAAAGTCTTCCCTCTACTCTACCCGGAGAATAGATGGCTCAAAAAAATGGTCTGTGCCATCTACTTTTCTTCAACTTAGATAATTTACACTCCGCGCGCCGGCGCCAGATAATTGGGGGTCAACCGGGATGCAAAATAGATGGCACAATTTTTTAGCCCCCTAAGAATAATTTATGGCACAATTCAGTGCGTCCACTCACGCTCGCTCACTGGCTCACTCACTGCTGGCTCACTCACTCACTCGCTCGCTCACTCACTCACTCACTCACTCATTCACTCATTGACTCAACCCACCCACTCACTCACTCACTCACTCACTCACTCACTCACTCACTGACTCACTCACTGACTCACTCACTGACTCACTCACTCACTGACTCACTCACTGACTCACTCACTGACTCACTCACTGACTCACTGACTCACTGACTCACTGACTCACTGACTCACTGACTCACTGACTCACTGACTCACTCACTCACTCACTCACTCACTCACTCACTCGCTCGCTCGCCAAAGGCTGCCGCTCTTTGCGTATGTTACGATGGGGCCAAGTCACGGTTTGGGCTGATGGGAATGGTTGCATTTAGAGTTGTGCCATCTACTTTTTGCGGCAGTGCCTCCACAAGGCAGCGCCTCACAAGGCAGCCTGCCAGGTAGCGGAGTTGATTTGAGGAAGTCCAGCCTTTGAGGAAGTCCCGCCAGCTGATGCGGGTTCCTTCCATGTCTTTCGAAGCCTGGGCTGCCGCAAGTGCATGCCCGGAATTGTGCCATCTACTTTCTTCGTTTGTGGGAGGGGCAGTGCCTCCACAAGGCAGCCCCCAGGCAGCGGGGAAGTCCAGCCCACAAGTACCAGCCAGGTACCAGACCAGCCAGGTAGGGAGAGTGCCTCCACAAGGCAGCCCAACCAGCGAAGAAGTTCCGGCCCAAGTAGTGGTCCGATTTTGTGGCAAGGCAGTCTTGCAGGGAGTTGAGGCAGTCCTTTGATTTGAGGGAGTCCAAGCCGAGATCTGTCTCCACAAGGCAGGCCCCAGGCAGCGCACACAAGTTCCAGCCAGGTAAGTACGAGATTAATCCAGACAGGGCGAAGTCCAACCAGGCAAGCAGAGGGCTGATTGGCAAGGCAGCCTTGCAGGGAGTTGAGGAAGTGCAGCCTGTGAGGAAGCCCAAGCCGAGATCGAAGCCTGGGCTGCTTCGCAAGCTCATGCAGGACATTGTGCCATCTACTTTGGGAGGGGCAGTGCCTCCAGTCCAGCCACACAAGTTCCAGCCAGGCAAGTACGAGGGGGAAGTCCATCCAAGATTGAAGCCTGGGCTGCTTCGCAAGCTCATGCATGGAATTGCGCCGTCTACTTTGCTTTGTTTGTGGGAGGCAGTGCCTCCTCAAGGCAGCCCCCGGGCAGCGGGAAGTCGAGCCACACAAGTTCCAGACAGGTAAGTAGGATATTTTCCAAGGGGAAGTCCAACCAGGCAGGGAGTAAGGAAGTGCAGCCGGCTGATTTGGCAAGGCAGCCTTGCAGGGAGTTATGGCGCCATCTATTGTAGGCAGCCCTCCGGGCAGCGGGGAAGTCCAACTAGACAGGTAAGTACGAGATTTTTCCAGGCAGGGGGAAGCCCAACCAGGCAAGCAGAGGGCTGGTTTGGCAAGGCAGGAGTTATGAAGCACAGCGCTTCACAAACGTCATGGAATTGTGCCAGCTACTTTGCTTTGCTTGTGGGGCCCCATTCTGCAGCGGGGAAGTCCAACCACACGTTGCGGCCAGGTAAGTACGAGATTTTTCCAGGAGGGGGAAGCCCAACCAGGCAAGCAGAGGGCTGATTTGGCAAGGCAGCCTTGCAGGGAGTTTTTGGAAGTGCAGCCTTTAAGGAAGTCCAAGCCGAGATAAGTCCAACCACACAAGTTGCAAGCAGAGGGCTTAGCCGAGATTAAAGCCTGGGCTGCTTCGCAAGCCCATGCATGGAATTGTGCCATCTACTTTGCTTCGTTTGCGGGAGGGGGCGCCTCCACAAGGCAGCCCCGGGCAGCGGGGAAGTCCAACCACACAAGTTGCAGGAGCCTTGCAGTACAGCGTTTGAGGAAGTCCAAGCCGAGATCAAAGCCTGGGCTGCTTTGCAAGCCTGGAATTGTGTTCGTTTGTGGGAGGGCAGTGCCTCCACAAGGCAGCCTCCCGCAGCGGGGAAGTCAAGCCACACAAGTTGCAGCGAGGTAAGTACAAGATGTTTCCACAGCAGAGGGCTGATTTGGCAAGGCAGCCTTGCAGGGACTCAAGATCGACAAAGCCTGGGCTGCTTGGCAAGCCCACGCATGGAATTGTGCCATCTACTTTGCTTCGTTTGTGGGAAGTCCTCCACAAGGCAGCCCCCCGGGCAGCGGCGAAGTCCAGCCACACAAGCTGCAGCCAGGTAGGTACGAGATTTTTCCATGCAGGGGGAAGCCGCAGCTGATTTGGCAAGGCAGCCTTGCAGGGAGTTATGGAAGTACAGCCTTTGAGGAAGTCCAAGCCGAGATCGAAGCCTGGGCTGCTTGGCAAGCCCACGCGTGGAATTGTGCCATCTACTTTGCTTCGTTTGTGGGAGGGCAGTGCCTCCACAAGGCAGCCGCCCCGGGCAGCGGGGAAGTCTAAGTACGATAATTTTCCAGGCAGGGGGAAGCCCAACCAGGCAAGCACAGGGATGATTTGGCAAGGCAGCCTTGCAGGCAGTTATGGAAGTACAGCCTTTGAAGAAGTCCAAGCCGAGATCGAAGCCTGGCTGCTTCGCCGGCCCACGTGTGGAATTCTGCCATCTACTTTGCTTTGTTTGTGGGAGCCACACAAGCTGCAGCCAGGTAAGTATTGAGGAAGTGGAGTGGGAAGTCCAGCCACACAAGCTGCACGCTGGGCTGCTTGGCAAGCCCACACGTGGTCTACTTTGCTTCGTTTGTGGGAGGGCCTCCACAAGGCAGCCCCCCAGGCAGCGGGGAAGTCCAGCCACACAAGCTGCAACCAAGTAAGTACGAGGTTTTTCCAGGCAAAAGGAAGTCCCCGAACCAGGCAAGCAGAGGGCTGATTTTGGCAAGGTACTTGCAGGGTATGGAATTACAGCCTCTGAGGAAGTCCAAGCCAAGATCGAAGCCTGGGCTGCTTGGCAAGCCACGCGTGGGGCTTCGTTTGTGGGAGGGCAGTGCCTCCACAAGGCAGCCCCCCCGGGCAGCGGGGAAGTCCAGCCAGACAAGCTGCAACCAGGTAAGTGCGAGATTTTTCAAGGCAAGCCCAACCAGGCAGAGGGCTGATTTGGCAAGTTGCAAGGAGTTATGGAAGTACAGCCTTTGAGAAAGTCCAAGCCGAGATGGAAGCCGGGCTGCTTGGCAAGCCCACGCGTGGAATTGTGCATCTACTTTGCTTCGCTTGTGCAGCGGGGAAGCTCAGCCACACAACAGGTAAGTACGAGATTTTCCAGGCAGGGGGAAGCCTAACCAGGCAAGCAGAGGGCTGAGAGTTCTGGAAGTACAGCCTTGGACGAAGTCCAAGCCGAGACCGAAGGCTGGGCTGCTTGGCAAGCCCACGCGTGGAATTGTGCCATCTACTTTGCTTCGTTTGTGGGAGGGCCTCCACGGCAGTGGGGAAGTCCAGCCACACAAGCTGCAGCCAGGTAAGTACGAGATTTTTCCAGGCAAGGCAGCCTTGCAGGGAGTTATGGAAGCACAGCCAAACGCGTGGAATTGTGCCATCTACTTTGCTTCGTTTGTGGGAGAGCAGTGGGGACGTCCAGCCACACAAGCTGCAGCCAGGTACGTACAAGTTTTTCCAGGCAGGGCGAAGCCCAACCAGGCAAGCAGAAGGCTGATTTGGCAAGGAAGCCTTGCAGGGAGTTATGGAAGTATAGCTGCCAAGATCAAAGCCTAAGCCCACGTGTGGATGCTTCGTTTGTGGGAGGGCCTCCACAAGGCAGCCCCCGGGCAGCGGGGAAGTCCAGCCACACAAGCTGCAGCCAGGTAAGCGCGGGATTTTTCCAGGAAGGGGAACCCCAACCAGGCAAGCAGAGTGATTTGGCAAGGCAGTTATGGATACAGCTTTCGAGCCAAGATCAAACCCTGGTCTGCTTGGCAAG